CAAGACCACTCCCCAAGTAAACTGCCTGAATCTGTTCCTCGTCCTGCGTCCGGGGCACCCGGAGGGTGGTTTGGGGTCTGGGAGGTCACACATGCCTCCCTTTCCCCTTGGAGGGGATTCTAAGCAGCGTGGGAAAGAAGAAAAGATGCAGAGTCCACGGGGAAAGGACAGGAATGGAGATGAGAGAAAGAGGAGGTAGACGCTGCCGCTCCACCTTGTCCCATATATTACGTAATCTCCACCCATCAACTTGGCAAGATCATCCCCCCCCCCCCCCATTCCTGCAGGTGAGGAGCCGAGCCCAGAGGGAGTAAGCTGCGGCTGTGGAGCTGAGTTTGGGGCCAGGCCTCCTCCATCCCTCAGGAGGCTGGGGTTGGGGGCTGGAGGTGGAGGCCGGGGGGCGGTAAGCACCTGTTGCCAGGATAGTCTTTGCAGATCCTAGTAAAGTCTCAGCCTTAGATCCGAAGGAACTCAGGATGTCATTTTCCTGCCAAGTCAAATGCTAGAATCTGATCTCCAGATACCGGAGGTCAGGGGAGTTCGGAATTAATGGGAGAAAAACTTGAGGAAAACCTGTCCGTCCGCTTTTCTCCAGTCAGGGCAGCAGAGCAGGAGCCTGGCTCGGGAACCTTTGACCTCTGTGCACTCTGACCTTGAAGGAACTTTGTGACAGTGGCTGCCACCAGAGGGGCCTCAGGGTAATCTCCAGCTGCCTCTGCGGGTCTAGGTCAAAGGTCAGCACTGATGAGCTGCCTTCACCCCCTCTCCCGAGGATTCAGCGCCTTCCGTTTTGTCCTGCACATCTGCTCATTCTTCTGGAAGGCTTCCTTAACCACGCCCCCACCCCCAAACACACACTGCACGGCACCCTGAACCCCACCTCCCCCATTGCAGCCTGTCATGATGCTTCATTGAAATCCTCTCCCTCGTCTGCATCTCAGACTCTGAGCAGGTCGTTCATCTTTTTATCCCTAGAACAGACCCCACATACTAGCATAGAGTACGTGGTTCATCCGTATGGGAATGGAGGCATGGTTCAGACATTGTGCTCATTCTTGGGAGTACAAAGGTTTTTTTTGGTTTTTATTAAATAGCTCTTGTTCTCAGGAACTTGTGGTCCAGCGAGGGACCAGGCCAGTGAGAAAGTCAATAATCAGTTGTGAGAAGTGGCCTGTTGTGCCATCCTAAAGTCTTCCATGGGCGTGGGGGCTGGATTAATAGCGACTGGGTTTTACATTAATAGCAGTGGGGGCAGGAGCGGGGACAACATGTACAGACCCCCCCGGGATGTAGCACAAAGAGCTCATTCTGAAAACTATAAGGCACTCTAACGGCTTCTAGGTCGTGAGCACGGAAAAGCGTGTTGGGCCCTCACCGGACCGCTTTGAACCTCATGCTCATCAGCGCAGACTGTAGGGTAAACACGGGGGGCACCATGAAGGCTGTAGCCAGGGAAGGCACGCCTGTGGGGGAGGATGGAGGAGATTGTCCAGGAATGCCGCCCGCAGGCAGCGCTGCCCTGGGAGCCACCTCCCCCCGCGGGCCTCCCGGAGCCTGGGAGCCCGGTGCCATCCCTGTGCGTGTCCGTCGGTGCTGCACCTTTCAAACGGGGAGGACAAGGAGGGCTGTCTGGTGGCGTTCTCCGGAGACACCCAGCAAGGAGGAGGCCGTGGAGGGTGCTCACAAGGAATTGGCTCACACAGCCAGGCTTTGTGGCAGCTGGAATGTCCCGCCCAGGATCTGCATTCCTGAGGCCTGAGAACAGGACAGCCCAGGGTGTGGGTTCCAGGCCAGGATCTGCAGGCAGGAGGGTGCCCCCCCGCACTCCCCACCACCACCACCATCACCACACACACACACACACACACACACACACACCCAGGAGAGAGCCAGGTCTCCCTTCGTGCACCTCTTCTCATCAGGCCCTGGATTGGCTGCGGCCTGCCCCGTAGGCAGGGCACTCTGCTGTCCCTGCTGACCCGGGAGTTAATGTCATCCTGAAACACCCTGGCCAACACGCCCACACCCCCAGACCCAGGCCGGCTGGTGTCCCAGAGAAGCGGGGGCTCTGGCATTGGTGGGGAGCAATGGAGGCAGGAAGAGGCTGGGGGAGGCCAGCTACCGAGCTGACGGCTCCTGGCGTGTCTGCCGTGCAGCCTTGTCTCCTGGGCCACTGTCCCAGGACCCTGACCGGTACATGCTTGTTAGGGGACTAAGCAGAGTGGGGTTCCTGCATCTACCTTCTTCTCCCTCGTTTTCCCAGAACACAGCAGCCAGCGTCGGGTTTTTTAAAAAGGACCTGAGATCAGATTGTGTCCCTCTGTTCTCAGCGCCCTCTAGTGGCTGCTCAGCAGGGTGAGAGCCAGAGCTGAAGGCCTCCTCATGGCAGAGAAAGAAAGCCCTGCGTGGCCTCATCTTGTGCCTTCCCTTCCCCCCTCCCCCCCCCCATGTTTTCACACTGAGCTCCTTGCTGTTCCCCAAAGCAGAGATGCTGTTCCTTGCTCCTAGAGCAGACACCCAGAGGGCTGGCTCCTCACTTTGTTCAGGTCTCTGGAAGGCCTTCCCTGACCACTGGTCAGGCTTTGAACACCTACCCCGTCCTCCTCACTCTCCTTTGCCCTGCTTCATTCCTCTGCAGAGCGTGTGTCCGCTTCCACAAGGCCTGCCACCGGCTGTTTGTTGAGTGTCTGTGGTTACCTGTTCTTCCCCACAGGCTGCAGGGATTCTGTCTGCCTGTTTACTGCTCTCCCCCCGCCCCGGCACCTAACGTGGCCTGGTCAGTGCCTGCTGGCTGACTCATGGATGAGAACATCACCATTGATGTTCCAGGCTAGGTAACGTGGAAGCCAGGAGAATAGGGTGGCGGTGCATTTGCCTTTTCAATGAGGTCACCGTGAAACCAAAAAGGTGGGGCGATTTGAATCCAAGTTCGTGGTCTTATAATAAATCGAAGCATGAAGTCTCGGTTCCAAACAGCTTTTAGTGGAAGCAGCATTCATGGACAGAAATGGTCCGAGTGTCCAGAGCTTCCCTTCCATGTTGCCGTCGGTGTAGCTTAGTAAAGTCTGTTAGTCCGTGTGCAGAGTCCAAGCCACGTGGGCTCAGGCGGGAGCTTCCCCAGCCACGGGGGCCAGGGAGGCCAGGGGCCAGGGAGGCCAGGGGCCGCGGGAGCAGGGAGAGGCAGAGCAGCCCGCGTTTTAACCCAGGCGGTGGCTACAGCCTTGCCGGCTCCTGATTGGTCCTTTCGAAGAATTCTGCCTCAGCAACGTCCTTGGGATTGGTGTACCCGCCTTTCTGCCCTGGGATTGGTCATCTGCGGGCTGCTTGTCTTAGCAACAACAGTCCATACATTTTCTGCCTTCCCCCTCCGGGTTTCCTTAGCAATGCTGCCTAACTGCGTTCCTGCTTCTATTTTCTCACCGCCCTTGGCCCCATTCCTGACTCCCGGGCTTCCTGTCTCCTCGGCTACTTGATCAGCCCTCCACTGACCCCTCGGGGACTAGAGGGTCAGGATTGCTCAGTGGGGCTGGGTCTGTGTGAAGACCAGCCTGCGGGGCCGGGGGAAGGGTGCTGGGAAAGTATTCTTGGTTCCCCTTTTTTTTTGCCAAGGGCACCTGCGCTGTGGGAGAACCGGAAAACCGGAGTGGACAGTGTGATGAGCGTTACACTCCTGTTTCAGGCCGAATGGTGTGTGTCCTGTAAGTGTGAGAAAAAGGTCAGCGTGTCGTAGGCGGCGGGAAGGCACCAGGAGTCTGACCGGGGTCCGACCGGACCTGGGCCCAGCACCCTCAGACTTGGGTTCCGCCCGGGAGAGAATTCAGAGAGAGGATCCACTTGGTAAACCACAGAGGGAGAAGAAGGGGTTCCTACAGAGATGGGCTTAGGAAACGAGGTCCAGAGGTAGAGGAAGGCCTTGAGGAAGGTAATAGTAATCTGTCGTCCGGCCCCGACCCCCGCCCCTTCCCTGGGGAGGGGAGAGGAAGAGATAGGGGGAAGGGGGAGACACACGGGATCCTCCATCCTAAGGGGTTTAAGGGTGGAGATTTTAGGGGAGGTCCCTGGGAAAGATCTTAATAGAATATTCAGTAGTCTTTGTTAACATAAAACCATTGAAACCTGTGAAGAATTTTTGTGAGTTTATTTGAGCCAGACTGTCTATCTGCGCCGGGAAGCAGAACCTCAACGAATTGAGATAATGGTCCGGAGAATGGCGGGGTTACATTTCTCTATTTATACATTGAAATCAAAGGAAAGGGACATAGGTGGGTTACATGGAATCCACTGGTGATAGACTGGAGAGGCTGGAGAAAGCAAAGAGGGGAAACCCCTGGGACTGGATAAAAAGTAAAATGATAGACACATACGTGGGTGGGTGCAGGAAGAATGAACATGATAACAATGAAGGAATTTGTGGTATCTGTCCTGGCGCCCAGCACATGAGGTTGTGCCCCAGGGGGTCCAGATAAAGGAGAGTTACAAGCTACCCAGACAGTTCAAAGGGTCTGTTATTATAGATGCAAAAAGACAGGCTAAAGGTTGATCTTGTCAGTGAAGATAACAGCCTAGGAGGTGACTGCCCACCGTAAAGGCTTTCGGTTCAAGTTTCATTTCAGACCGTCCTGTGTAGTGCCTTGAGGTCTCTTGAGTCTGCAAGACGGCCATGCAGGCCTCCCCTCGCCTGTCAGTCAGCACGTGGCCCTTCCGCCCACACCGCCCAGGTGTGTCCTTTCGGGACGGTGGTCCCCTGTTATTCCTGCCTGGGGTGACCCCAGCGAGGAAGGGCCAGGAGTCCACACCTCATGGCCAGCGATCCGCTAGGGGCGGGAGGTCACTCTGGGGGCCCGGTCTCCCCTTACAATTGACTGCCGTGCTGGGCTTCCCGCCCCGATGGCTCTGGGCCTGCCCTGTCGTCCCCGCCCTGCTCATGGCGGCTGCCTGCTACAGCGAATACGCTCGGCATCACAGCATGGACATGTGACGGAAGCTCGTTCCTCCCGCAGGGTATTCCTGGGACTCGCTGCCCGACGAGCTGCTGCTGGCCATCTTCTCGAGCCTGTGCCTCCCGGAGCTGCTGCACGTGTCCTGCGTGTGCAGGAGGTGGTACCACCTGGCGTAAGTGCGTCCGCCCGGCCGGGGGCGAGGGGCGAGGGGAGGGCTCTGCCTTCGCTGGGCCTGGTGACAGAGACACGAGAACAGCAGAGCAGCACAAAGCAGAGTGTCTGGTGTTTCTGTGAGTGCTTAGTATCTATTCCCCGCGAGGGAGGGGCCCCTGCGGTGAAAACGCACCCCTTTCTGAGCCCCCTTGCCCTGGACCCGGGGACGGAGGGGAGTGCCCGGCGAGTGCCGGGGCCAGAGGCCGGGGCCCTGGCTCTGGGCCGGTGTGAGTGGCCCGGCCCCTGCGGCTCTGGGTGACAGAGGGCGGTCTGTGTGCTGTCCAGGGCAGGACAGGGAGGAGGGAGACACTCCCATGCCGCTGGCAGTGCCTGGTCGCAGGGTGCTTATATGTTTATAGAAGCTTAAAATGTGTTATAAAACAGCTAAACCGTAACTCCTTTTCTTAGCTCCTTTTCTTAACTGCGGCTCTGGAGCCACCTGCGGCTCTCTGGCCCCTTGAGTGTGGCTCGTCCACAAAACACCGCGGCCTGGGCGGGTCTATGTTGAAGAAGTGGCGTTAGAAGAAGTTTACGTGTAGACATGTGGCTCCCCAAAGACATGTCAGTCATTGTCCCGTTGGCATTTGGCTCTGCGGACGGATGAGTTTGCCGACCGCTGTCCTAGTAGATGTCCGAGTCCTCACATCTCACAAAGTAGCGCTCACTTTCCTCCCTTCAGGACTGACAGTGTGGGGACCTGATTCTGGGTGACAGAAACGGCAAGTGCGATTGCTGTGGTCATTTGGAACCTACTCACCTCGTCCGTAATCAATCGAGTGACTTGATCATTGCTTTTAAAGTGATCAAATGGCGTGAAGGCTGGGGTTCTGTTCTCCGAGTCGGGGTCCTTGCCTTGCTGCTGACAGCACTGAGCCTGTTGGAAGTCTGCGGAGAGAGGACCGGGAGGCTGGTCCGGGCTGTGTGCCAGCTCAGCGGTGCTGGGGGCGGCGGTGGCCAGTGCCCGCAGCTGACCGAGGGAGCCCCCTCTTCCAGGTTCGACGAGTCCCTGTGGCAGAGCCTGGACCTCACCGGGAAAAACCTGCACCCGGAAGTGATTGGCCGGCTGCTGTCCCGCGGGGTGGTGGCCTTCTGCTGCCCGCGCTCCTTTGTGGACCAGCCGCTAGTGGAACATTTCAGGTAAAAATGCAAAAGACTGTCCAATCCTCCAATCCCCATCTGCTCAGCCTCCCTGTCCAGCAAGCTCCCGTTCCCAGGCCCTAGAAACGGCCTCACGAATTCCCTCCATGCACCTCCCCGTCGGCCTGTCCCACATTGCACTCGGCCCCTGTGCTTCCTCCACATCCTCCCCGTCTCCCCGTCAGCCTGTCCCACGTCACACTCAGCCCCTTTACAGCGTGCTCTGCCGGCGTCTTCCCTGTGGGAGTCAGTGCCGCGGCCCCCACCCCTCGTCGCCAGAAGCATCATGGACATCACATCCTTGTCACCCACACCCAGCGCGTGTCACCGTGCCCACACGCCCGTTTCCGAGGGGCACCATATCGGCAGCTATGGGGGCCTGGCAAAAACCCTCTCGAATTTTAAAATGAAGGAGGGTGGGAGCCCGCTGGAAGCAGTTTGCCTTCCGGCAGAAACTATAGCGAATCCTTGAAATGTGCAGAGGCTTCCAGCTTGGGAGGGGCGCTCACCGGGCGGAGGCGGCGGGTGTGGGCTGAGCCGCCTCACAGAGCCCCCCCCCCTCTCACTCTCTCTCTCTCCCTCTCCCGCCCTCCCCCCCATCCAGCCCTTTCCGCGTGCAGCACATGGACCTGTCCAACTCGGTCTTCGAGGTGTCCACGCTGCAGGCCCTGCTGTCCCTGTGCTCCAAGCTGCAGAACCTCAGCCTGGAGGGCCTCCAGCTCTCGGACCCCATTGTCATGTGAGTGGTGTGGGGCCTGTCCCAGCGGCTCGGGTTTTAGGTGTGAACGTTATTTCCTGGAGGAGGAGATGCCCAGCCCAGGGTTTCGGCTTCTGAGAAAACTTCCCAGGACTCACCCAGACGGCAGAGTGTGCCCGCCCAGTGGATGCCGCTCGCGCTGGGGCCTAGGGAGGCACGGTGACTGCGGGCACGGCCCTGTGTCCGGGAGAGGCGGAATCACAGTGCAGCCTGTTTGTCCACAGCCAGACCCAGTTAGTGTAGGCAGGGCTGCCTCCTGCAGGAAGTGACTCGTAAGCCGAGTATTGGAGACGCCTGCACTGGCCCAGTGCTCTCCCGCCAGCCCGCCCCCTCGCCGCGCCTGATGGAGTAGGAGGCCCCGCTGGTAACCTCCGGACGTTCTCCTCCCCCAGGAACCTTGCGCAGAACTCAAACTTGGTGCGGCTGAACCTCTCTGGGTGCTCTGGCTTCTCCGAATCCGCCCTGGAGACACTGCTGAGCAGCTGTTCCAGGTAGGCGAGTCTGAGGTCGGTTGCAGGCTGTGGTCTCACACCGGACCAGAGCCGTTCCCACCTCCAGCGCTTGATCAATCGTGTTTTGCGGTGACCTTCTGCTGCCCGCGCTCCTTTGTGGGCCACCGAACGCGGGAGCCAGGTGCAGTGAGTTTGCAGAGGACGCTGGTGACGGATCCCTTTTGTTGTTGTTACCATTTGCAAAAGCAACACGTAGCCGTATGCTTACCTCAGTGATGGGAAGCAGTCTGCTTGCCCCCGACTATACAGTCAGGTTATTTCCCCTTTCCTGACTGCAGCCCTCACTGAACAGCTTCTGTCTCTCACATTGTGTCAGCCAGTACATAAAGGCTGCAGAGATACAGGTGTTACCGAGTGCAGAGTACACAGGCCCTACCGTGTGTGTGTGTGTGTGTGTGTGTGTGTGTGTGTCCTTCCTGATATCCCCTGGTCTCTGCATGTACCATCGCACTGTACCAATGTTTCCGTAACCATCTGCTGAAAGTAGATTCCCGCTGGATAAGAACGGTATCGGTGGGATAAAACGGTATCAGTGAGATAAAACGGTATCAGTGAGGTAAAACGTAAGCCCCCGTTTTCTCCAGAGTGAGGGGTGTGCTGTAACGGCTGGACGGTGCCTTACTGTCTCAGTGGCTCCGTGGCAGGCCGCGGGAGAGGAAGCTGTGTTTTGCAGCATCAGGGTCTCTTTGTCGGGAAGCTGTTGTTCAGACATCTCAGGTGATTGTTCAAGCCTGGGTAGCCATTTGCTAATAGTCTGTTGGTTGCGAAAGAAACAGGCTGGAATTTCTCCTCTCCGCTCTGGAGTGAGGTTGGAGCCCTCAGGAAGGGAGGAGAGTGCTCCCCTTCGTCCCCACAAGGGGGCAGCATTCACTCAGGCCTCAGCTCAGATTCCTTGGGGCCAGCTGGAGCCAGGAGTGTCAGGTGTGTGTGTGGGGGGGGGGGGGGGGGGGAACAGGTTCAGGGGGGCTAGGGTAACTGCTTAGAGAGGCAGAGCCCTGGGCATGGGCCGGGCGGTCGGTGGCTCTCTGCTCTGCAGCCAGAGGCAGAGCCGCCTGGGGCCCTGGCTCCTGGGCGACGTCTCATGCCACCCTCTCGCCCCGCTGCGCAGGCTGGACGAGCTGAACCTGTCCTGGTGCTTTGACTTCACCGAGAGGCACGTGCAGGTGGCGGTGGCGCACGTGTCGGCGACGGTCACGCAGCTGAACCTGAGCGGCTACCGCAAGAACCTCCAGCGGGCAGGTGAGCGCGGCCTCCTGGTGCTGCCCTCCCCGTTGTCCCGCTCCACCCGGGCCTGTGCTGTTCCCCTCGCTCAGGTGAAGGCAAACCGCTAGCCGGCAGCAAAGTTTGAATTCGGAGCCTGGAGGTAGAAACCTTTGTAGTTTCAAACCTACCGTTCCTCTGCAAACTCTTTATGGTAGAAACAGGAAGGGAATCTTTTCTCTGCCAGTGCCAGTTGCGTATGTGTAACACTATTCACAGGCCATACAAATGGTCAGCTTAAAAATGAGCCGGCTGTCTTCGGTCCCCGCCCCCCCCTCAGGGCCTGGGCAGGGCCAGACGTCCCCCACCCCTGCTCTAAAATGGCAGAAAGAGTGGTTCATTATTATCATCACATGCCGTGTCCGTATATAACGGCAGGTGCTTTACTTTTGTGTGCCGGGCAACAGGAGGTTTATCGACACGGCACCACCACACACTGTGAGCAGTATGTTCTGCCTCAGTGTGCACGGGACCCGTCACTCAGGAATGGGGAGTCCGCTCCATTTTAACCCATGGGCCCTCCTGCGCAGAGGTGCGTTCTGGAAACAGGCCAGTGCAGAGGTGTCTGGCTGGCCTTTTGCTGTGGGAGTGGCATTTCCCCCCATTTCTGCGGATAGATACTCTGGGTTGTTGCTAACCACTGGTTGTGCACAGTTCTCTTGCTGTTTCCAACAGTTTTCAGGTGGTTCCTGGGGATTTTCAGGGTAGGAACATCTTGTGTACCAAGGCCATCCTCCTGTCTAACAGTCTGCCACTCCGGCCCATTGCTCTGGACTGGCAGCACCGTGGCAGTGATAGGAACAGAGTCCCTGTCTCGTTCCTTAAGAGTAACCGTCATTTTTGTCTTCTTCTAGATTTCTCTACCTTACTTAGAAGATGCCCCAATCTTGTCCACCTAGACTTAAGGTATTTCTTCATTTATTTATTTTAGAAAAAAGACGTGAAAAATCATGACCGCTCCCTGAGTGAGGAAGGGTCTGAACGTGCTGAGGGAGGGCGCTCAGCGTGGCCTGTGTGTCCTCCCCGGTGGCCCGCGGGGTGCTGAGTCTCTCTTCTCCGTTTCAGTGACAGCGTCATGCTGAACCACGAGTGCTTCCCCGAGTTCTTCCAGCTCCACTACCTCCAACACCTGTCGCTCAGCCGGTGCTACGACATCATACCTGAGACTTTACTGTGAGTGCGCTGGTGCTTCAGAGCCAGAAGGCGGAAGGCGGGGACCAGAAGGGATGTCGCTGGGTGTTAAATCCGTTGTTACTAGTAGCCGGTGTTGAGAACTTAAACGTTGACTTGGGTGCACTGCAAACTGGTTAGGAAAGGCCAGCAAAACCGAAAAACCAGGGCGGAACTGTTCTATTCAACACACCTGGTGACAGTGAGTTGACTGAGCCCTGGATAGAGCATCAACCTGTGGACTGAAGGGTCCCAGGTTCGATTCCAGTCAAGGGCATGTACCTCGGTTGCGGGCACATCCCCAGTCCTGGTTCCAAGTGCGTGTGGGAGACAGCCAATTGATGTGTCTCTTTCACATTGATGCTTCTCTCTCATCTCTCCCTCTCCCTTTCGCTCTACGACAATCAGTGGAAAAATATCCTCAAGTGAGGATTAACCTCCCTCAGAATAAGATCCCTTATGAACACCAGGCGTGTTTATTTTAGTTAAGCAGTGCTTTCATTTTCTAAATTGCCCTCCACATTGAGTTGAGCTAACATCTGTTACATAGTGTTGGTGTTGACCATCTTTGATGGGTGTAATTAAGAGAGGGAAGCCTGGGTGAGCAGTTGGCAGGGGTGGTCTGGGGAGCTGAAGTGTGGGTCCCGTGAGACCAGGGGAGCACGGGGGCCTGGGCGAAGCAGGGGATGACATACGCAGAGGGAGTTGCCTTGGACACTGGTAGACAGACCAGGCAGGCAGGCAGGCAGACCAGAGGCGGGTGAGGTGCCGTTATCACAGGGAAGCTGGGTCTTCAGGAACTTCGGGGAATACGCAGTGGGAAGGCTGCTTCGCACACTAGTCACCGAGGAGCCCATCGATTGCTGTGGGGCTTGTTGAAACTCCAAATCAAACATGCCCTCTCTGAGACTCTGTACTGTGTCCCAATCCGAGCAAACACAGATCAGAGCGATGGCGTTCTCAACACACAGGTCTGGGTTAGAGAGAAAATCATTATCCCTACTTTGTCCCTAGCCGGTTTGGCTCAGTGGATAGAGCGTAGGCCCACAGATTGAAGGGTCCCGGCTTCGATTCCAGTCAAGGGCAAGTACCTTGGGTGCATGTTCCTGGGCCCTGGAGGGTACTAATCAGAGGCAACCGAACGATGTCTCTCTCTCACATCGATGTTTCTCTCTCTCCTCCCCCGCTCCTTTCCACTCTCTCTAAAATCAATGGCAAAATATGCTCAGGTGAGGATTCAAAAACAAAAACACAAAGTATTGACTTTGGGTAAATCAGCTCCCTTTTTTCTAAACCAGAATGTCATGTTGACAGTTATATTTCACCGGAGAGGATCAGCTGATGTGACATGTGTGATACGTGGAGGGAAGATGGCCATTGCCCCCTCTCCCGGCATGATTCCCCCCTTCTCTGCTGTTCCCAACTACCTACCCCTGTCTGAAGCCTCTGAGTGAAGGCCCTTAGGTTCCATCACGTATAATGGGCTTGTGGTCTGCTGACCAGTATTGAGAAGTTGTCAAACCCGCTGACATGTTTTGATTGAGGTGGGGAACCTGAGATCAAGTCCACGTCCTTCCCGTGTGTGTAGCCTCCGGTGACCTCCAGCTGGTGCCACAGTAAACATCAGTCCTCCCATCGCCACCAGCTGCTCGCTGGTCACCACAGCAGCACCTTCCAGGAGAATGGAGAATGGAGAGAGGAGGCAGACACGGGTGGAGTTAAGTAAGCCCACGTGGAGTGTTTTGCTGGTTGGAGATTCAGCACGACACTCCGGCCAGTTCCCGCGCTGTGGCCTGTGCCTTGCCGTTGGCCTCGTTGTTCTATTTCCCTAAACGGTAGGGGCTGCAGAGTACGTGTTCAGTGTGCGTTCTGTAGGGTCTGACACACGTTGTTGGAAGTGGGTCATGTCATTCTAGAGCCGTGGTTCTCAAGCTTTCTAACGCCACCCTTTATTAATACAGCTCCTCGTGTTGTGGTGACCCCCAACCATAAAATTATCTTCGTTGTTACTTCATAACTGTAATTTTGCTACTGTTCACGAATTGTAATGTCAATATCAATTCCACAGGTTGAGAGCTGCTGCTGTCGAGCCTAAGACCATCGGAAAACAGATATTTACATTATGATTCATAACAGTACCATAATTTATGGCCCTGACTGGTTTGGCTCAGTAGATAGAGCATCCATCTGCAGACTGAAAGGTCCCGGGTTCAATTCCGATCAAGGGCATGTACCTTGGTTGCGGGCACATCCCCAGTAGAAGGTGTGCAGGAGGCAGCTGATGGATGTTTCTGGCTCCCTATCTCTCTTGTAAAAAAATCAATAAAATACTTTTTTAAAAAATTTTTAAAAAAAGAGAAAATTTTATGGTTGGGGTCACCACAACACGAGGAGCTGTATGAAAGGGTCGCAGCGTTAGAGAGGTTGAGAACCACTGCTGTAATGGAAGTGTCCATAGATACCGCTGCTCTGAACGTGTCTCTCTTCCTTCCCAGTGACCTTGGAGAAATCCCCACACTAAAAACACTACAGGTTTTTGGAATCGTGCCAGACGGTACCCTTCAGCTGTTGAGGGAAGCCCTGCCTCACCTCCAGATCAACGGTTCCTACTTCACCACCATCGCCAGGCCTACCGTGGGCCCCAAAGACCACCCCGAGATCTGGGGCGTCCGCTGCCGGCTGACCGTGCAGAAGCCCAGCTGCCTGTGAAGGTGCATTGAAGGTGCTGTCTCCTTTCCTCTCTGGGGCAGGGAAAACGGGCAGGAAGCCCCATGGCTGGAGCGCTCGGCTGTGCTAATTCTCGGTTTTCCCTTTGCCTTCGTTCTGCACGTATGTTAGAGAAGCGTTTGAGAGAGAGAACTAGGAAGGGCTGCTTTTTTAAAACATAGGAAAAGCTCTGTCACTTCTCTGCTCCCAAGAGCCTCGTAGGCCTCCCGCCATTTCAGGGGCACAAGCCTGGAATTTCAAGATCCATTGAGAGCACAATTTGAGGTGCCTCTCCCAAGTGCCCTTATTAGTAAATCTATTTAGAGACAAGCTTAAACATCACCAGCAAGCGGAGACTTTCCTTGATCTATATGCTAACTTAACTTTCTTCTATTTAAATATTCAGTATTGCTTTATACGACATAGTGTGGGAAAATGATAAGCTATTCATAGTGTAGGATAGTCGGTTAGAGGCAGTCATTCGGGGATAGAAAAAGGAAAATACACATTTCAACTCTGCCTTTGCATGGGCAGGTAGGCTCATGAACACAAGCGGTCCTGGGTAATCCCCTCGCACCTACATTTAGAAGAACCACAGGCGTGGGGGGGCGGGGGCTCCGGAGGCGGGTTTCTGGGACGGGCCATCGGAAGCATGGGCGAATGCCCGCTGCTGAGGCATCCATTGAGTACTGTACTCCCCGAGTACTGCGGTAGCTGAGGAGGTGCTTGTGGGCTTCTAACTTTATTAACTTTCTGAGCAAATGATGTTAAGTGGGTTCTTTAGCTTTGAAAATGCCTCGCCTCGCCTTAGGAAGGTGCTAGTAAACGTCTCTCTCCTCGCAGTGTGGGATGGGGTGCTAACTGAAGTGGCCTGCGCTTGCCTGTATTGCTGAGGTTCTTGAAGGTATTTTTATGTTACTCTAGAATCACGTCTTTGGATTTTATTTTGTCTGTCTGCCACAATCGTCGTTTTAACCTACCTACCCGTTTTACAAGTTACTGGGCCCCACGTTCCCTAAGAACCGCGAGTTCCTCAATCGACAATACACACCGGACGCAGGGGCACACCCCGGTTTCAGAGCAGAAAGCACAGGTGCGGAGGCTTGGATGGCGTCAGTGGTTTTTAATGGTACACCCTTGCAGATGGGTTCTCTCCTGCCTTAGGAAGCACACTAATTTCTTAACGCTGATGACCTCCCTGTGTTCAACACGAAAGCCAAACACTTCATTTCTAATAACGTTGTTGGTTTTTAAAACAATTTTCAAATGTTAGAAACGATGGTATGAAGTGCCCTTATCTGTCCAGACCTAAGGAAGAACATTTTAAAGTAGTGATACCGGAAATGATTATGTTTCAATCTTGTAGTAGCTCAAAAGTGCTAAATACTACTTGAGATTATTGTTTACAGGTTAGCGACAAGGGCTGGGGACAGGATCCGGCTGGATCCTGGCTCCCGGGTGCCCTCACACACACAATAGTACTTCCAAACTCAAGACCAGCCAAAAGCTATTTTCCTAACACGTCAGAGTGATCTGTATTTTTGTATGTGATTTCTACTTTTATAAACCTGTTTTAAAATAAAACACATTTTTATAAAAACGAGTACTTCTGCTAAATTGTGGTCCTTTTACCTCCTGGAAGCACTGTAGCTGAAATTGTTTTAAGCACTTTAAAAAGTAATAGCCTTGATAAACTAAAACGTAGGTGATTGATGGGATAGTGAAGTACTGTCCAAAAAAGTCAGCGATAGCATTTTCACGTTAATATCCGCCTCTGGCCCTGAGTCCCTCCCTCTCTCTCCCCTAGCCACAGTGGCAGATAGGAGAGATTCTCTGGCCAAGTGCACAATTCTTATTTCTGATAAGACACGCGCAGTGTGGTCACTATCTGGTGAATTCACTTGCAATCCAGCGTTTACTGAAGATCCACAGTGAGGAGGACATTGTTTGAACAGCAGCATGGGGGAGGGAACTGACCATATAAGGAAAGGTACTAGTTCTGGGGCTGGGGAAACTGGAACCCCTTTCCACTGGATACCCAACCCTGAACAAGCCAAAAAGCAACCTCCTCGCTGTTACCACTGCTCTCCCATGACCTGATTTGCTGGGGCCGTAAATACAAACGCATCTGGGGCATCAACAATATTAAGTCAACATTATCTGAAGAGTCTCTACACTTAGGGTAAGCACTTATCCTCGGTTATATAACAAATCATGGCTCTGTGTCACAGATTAGCAGTGAAGGAAGTCAACAGGGCAAAGAGTAATGCATACCAGTGGGGAAAAGACTTCTGAAACATCACATTTGGGAAAGCCAGGTTTTGAAATAATGACTTCAAGAGAATTAAGGAAGTAAATAAAAGAAAAAGATAACAATAGTTTACTTTTATTCACATCTTGTTGCCATTAAAAGTTAATTCAAAAAACATTTTTGCTATTCTAACATCCTTTGCCTCTCATCACCTCTTACAAATAAATTCCCACCACAGAGCAGAAATATTAGGAGTTATACTGCAAATGGAGCACATTAAGCAATTTTTAAACCTTTGGAATATGGCTCACGAACAATGTTACACAGCAGGTTACCTAGTAATGTTACAGATCTATGATACCACATGGACAGAATACCTTGATATTAAAGATGGAGTTGGCATTTTTGTCAAGAAGACATTTTAAACTTATTCAGGGTGTTTCTATACTGTGGAATTTCACTTTGAAAAGTAGATCTTAAGGTACCACTTGTAAATCAAACCAGAAACTAGACCAGCTCTGGGAAAACACTAATATTTACTGAACCCATCATGTTAACTGTTTGCTAATGAGTATACAGATACTCTTAACTAGGAAAAGAAAAACAGGTTCCTGTTCTGGATAACATCAAAGCCTAGGTTACTTTTGTGTAGTAACATTTATATTAAAAGTTTGACAAGAACATGTTAAAATGTTGGCAAAACTAGGAGTACTCAATTTGATTATCCGTTCTATCAATATCAAGACAGTCCATTCCATTCATCAATGAATACCCGGCAGTTGAACCAGTACATGGCACAGATGGGTATCCAATAAATATTTCAGTGATTGAACAAATGGTGTGTGACTACCAATGATTTTAGATGCAGCAAGAGGTGCTTTCTGTGAAAAGGGCAGGGTTACATATAAGTAGGCCAAGAATTAGAAGAAAAATTCTCATGGGGGGACAAAAGGCCGGAACATTTCATCCTCCAAAGCTGATGTGAGAACTTGGAATATGAGCTAGGTGAAAACTACTGCGGTATTAAAAGTAAATAATAGTTTTGAAAGGTTTGACAAAACTCTTAGTAAAATATGGCTTAATCAGTTCATCCTTTTAGTCTTTGTATCCATATTAAAGAGTTTTAAATATGGAAGAAATCTACTGGATTCAAGTCATTTTTTAAAAATTGCCTATCACCTAAAATAGCTATATGAAATATAGGATAATTTGTAACAGCATCATGATTCTGTCGTTATATGTACTTCAATTCACCCTGCATTGTCAAAATTAACCTGAAAGGCAAATGAAAACTAAATAATTTTTTTAAAATGTTTGAACTTCTTAAATCAGTAGAGTCATAATATCATTGCGTTCTGAAATTAGAAAATTCTTAGCTCATAGAAAAACACATTTACTTGCTTTAATTAGGTCAATGTCAGGATTTATCAAAATTCTCCATCAAAAATTCTCCATCAAAAATCTTGATTTTTAGGTGCTATAAAAAATATATACTTTGATATACTAATGACAGGTGTTTGTTCTGACCAATTCCACACAGTAAGGAGGGAAGGGAAGGAAACACTTATTCCTTTATTTGGAACCCACCTCTAAATTTAAACCATACCAAGTACTCTTGAATACCACTCCTAGGTAATATAGAAATTTCACTGGTATCAATTCTACAGTTTAGTCCAGCTACTCTCTTACACAGTGAACGTCTCCACCAGAACCAACAGGAGAATAAGAAATCTCACTTTCTTAGTCACCTTTGAGCACAGGGCCAACCAGTCTCACAATAACCAAAGAGGTCGCTGCCGGACCGGCAGTCTGTTCCAGCAGTGCAAGTATTTTTCGGGTAATCAAAGTCTCGTCTGAGGAAATCCTTCACTGTTCTAGAAGCACAGTTCGAAGCTCGTCTTCTTTATTGATCATCATTGAAGCAATTGCTCCATCATTAAACTCAAAAGAAGTGCCTCCATCCACAACCATACAGGCATCCCAACAGCGAGAACGGACACAGACCCTAAGCAGAGAGCAACATCTCATTAAATACGTTTTCTTAACTCTGAGGTTTCTTTAAAACCCATCCTTTTTAAAGTGGGAGGGGAAAGATGAGTCCTCCTCTAACGGTGTACTGATACACAGGGTAGGTTTCAGTAAGCATCTGTCCTGCTTTTACTCCACAGCACATGAAAAAAAGTTGCTTTCCAGTCAGTTTCTTTTAAAACGATAATATAATATTGTGGTCTAAATACTTGAGGGGAAAAAAATCTGCATCACCCAAGTAAGTAACTATGCCCCTTCTATTCAATTACATTTTCGTGTCGCTAAAACAACACGCTGTTAGGAAGAAAATGTCATTTAAACCACATCGGCATGGCAGCTCATGCGATCCACAGCTCAGCTGTTCCCCCACCAGGCTTCACTGAAATACCTTTCAAAATAAGAGTAATCACAGGGAGGAGAGCCTCACACTCAGACTTGGGCAGCTTGCTTACTTGGAGGTGAAACAACGCTGGCGGCTGCTTGAGAAAACTCTGTTTGCTATTGGTTCTCGAATACTGAAAAGTATTTTTGGTTCTTCCGGACTATAGAGCAGCGATTCATTATATTCGTTTGTTACTATGAGGAAAGAAGAAACAAGTATTAGCACATTCAATAACAGATGGCCACTTGAGAAGTGCAAAATGAGAAATGGATGCTATCCCCAACTTAGCAGCAGTTGTCCCACAGCCCTGTTTGGAGTCTAGTACCTTGGGACTCACTACAAGTTCCGTTAAAAAACAACCACCACCTCATAAATGAGGATTAGGTTCCAAGATTAGACCACAGAACCGTACATCACTCACAATACAAAGGAAACAGGTACATTTTGGGTTCAGGGGAGTTCAAAGCTAGTAATTAAACAAAAATAGAGGAACTAGTTTATGGCACATAAAAATGGAACTTGAGTTGCCATATTACCCCTGCCAATTCTTTTCCAAAAGATCATGTCAAAGAATTCATAAGTATAAGTTAATAATAGTCTTAATATAAAACGCAATCTCAAAAATGACCGGCAATGTGCTTTCACTTCTGAAAATGCCCTCATTCAAGACCGTTTTAAAAATCGCTGGGACCTGCCATCACAGTTGGCAGGCAACGCACAAACCGGTTCAAGACAACTGTACGACAAAATCAGGCTGGCAGAAGGATCAGTTCAGTAGCACATTAAAAGACACAAAACCATCAGATAATCTGTATTTTCCAAAATTTCATTTGAATATTTGGGTTCTTTTAAAAACCTATTAAAAGGAAAAAAAAAAAAAAACCCTCTCTGGGCACACACTCTGAAGAAAGTAGGTGCAGTGTCAATGAGCACGGCCTGGCACTCACTGCTGCTTCCGAAGGAATAACGTTCATTCACAAAGCAGTTTGTTTATTAAGGGAAGACCAACCACTTTATTTTATATGTACCTTAAGTTAATTTACATACCTGATATAAATTTCAGCTCATTTATATACATTATGTTTTAAGTTAAATTACATAATCTCAATTACTATAAATGCTTAATTTTACTTTCTTTTATATAGATTTGATGCTAATGCTAGCTCATACGCCATGATTAAAATAATCTATTAGATTTCAAATTGAGAAGAAGAAATAGAGTCCAATTTAGAGAAATGAAAGGGAATTCAGAAATTTAGTCCTGTTTTCAAACTAACTTACAGGCAAATCATCTGCCCAATGAAGAAACTCCTGTGTAGAAATCCAGATGGACAGAAATATGAGCGGACACTTTACCATGTACTGCTAAATCATTTTAAAGGCAACCAACAAGAATGAAGTTACTCTAATAACTCTCAATTCAAATGTTTGTGTTTATGGATGGATGACAGTTTTAATCTTATATATGCATTGATATTCATTTTGTGTCAGTATTTTACTTGGGGTTTATATGTTAACAAATCTTTACAAAAGAAGGTAGAAGTAATTACAAATAGGTTTGGGCTTTTTGTTGTTTTTAAAGGAATTTATACCTTCATATCAAAGGATACTCTTCAATTAAACTCACAGTAAGAAAAGTTTTAGTTTGAGCTCTACAACATTGATCCTGGTAAATGCGTGGACTATAGTGTGTTAAAAATTCTCATGTAAATCAAACGAATGTTGTTTTTCAGAATTTAAGATTTAAATGTTTTTAAAATGAACTTTAAGGAACAAAGGGAAAGAGTCCCCAAGCACAGTGATCGGCCTGCCCTCCTGATTTCACAGCAGAGGGAGTGGAGGAGCGGGAATCACTGTCCTGCCCACGTTTCAGGCCGGCAGTGGTTGGCCTGGGATTGGAACCCAGATCTCTCAATTCCCTGACCAGTATCCTTTCTCTCCACAGGACTAGTTCTCTTAAAGAGACCCTGAAGTAGCTGGGCAGGAGTAGGCAGGTGGGTGTCAGGCAGAACACTTCTCTGAGTGGGAAGATAAGCTTTCACAGCTCAGTGGATTCCCCTCCTTCAGAGGACATGAACGGCACCAGAGTTAGGTGTGCATTTCTAATATTTGATCTATATACATTATGTTTTTCTGTATTTTCCTATTCCCCAAGACATATCTGCAGTTAAGCTGTTTCTGACATATCTGCAGTTATGCTGTTTCTGACATAGAGGTTATATTTTAGAGTTGACAAAAATCGTAACACTTATATTATGATTTTTGTCGTTTTAAATTTTATTGTTTAAATATATTTAAAGGGATATTAAAGCATATTTGAGACAAAAAAGTACTGTGTTTAGCTAAATAGACAAGTACACATCATAATAACATCCTTCAGTCGATAAAGAATTTAAATGAAGCTTAGTAATTAAGATCATTTGTCACTGACCTTTCTCTACCAGTTCTCTGTTCAATGGAAGACTTAAACTTCCTTGTCGTTTTGCTTTTGGAAAAGGAAAAAGGGAAAATATATTAATTAAATGTTTTGTATCATGTAATAGCTAACAGCATAAAACATACATTCTATAGTACATTATAATTATAATATATAATAGCTATTTTGGTACTCACCAATATTTAAAACATCTTCCACAGCCTGAGTTGCAACCCTGTTAATATTGAATGACCTAGAAACAAACACCACATAAATTCTTTCTTGTTTCAATTCTAAAAACATACTAAAAATGAAAAAGGAATAATCTATTTAATATACAATGAACTTTTAGAAATTATCAGAGAAATAACCAAAGACAACAGCTGCTTCACCCAGTTTTAAAAAGTGGGCCACGTACATGGACAGTTCATATGAAAAAAAATGCTCATTCTTACTCATAATTAAGGTAATACAAATTAAAACGTACGATTAAAACAAGGTTTTTCTCAGATGTGCAAGAATTAAAAACTGGCCGGGACCGGTTTGGCTCAGTGGATAGAGCGTCGGCCTGCGGACTAAAAGGTCCCGGGTTCGATTCCGGTCAAGGGCACATACCTTGGTTGCGGGCACATCCCCAGTAGGGGGTGTGCAAGAGGCAGCTGATCGATGATTCTCTCTCATCGATGTTTCTAACTCTCTATCCCTCTCTCTTCCTCTCTGTGAAAAATCAATAAAATATATTAAAAAAAAAAAAAAAAAAAAAAAAAAGAATTAAAAACTGATCATGTATTGGCATGGGTATGGGAAAAGAAGTATAGGTGTTGCCATCAAAGAGCAATTCTGCATTACTAAAATTTAAATAGGCGGAAACCAGTGTGGCTCAATGGATAGAATGTTGGTCTGTGGACTGAAAGGTCCCAGGTTCGATTCCGGTCAAGGGCATGTACCTTGGTTGTGGGCACATGCCCAAAGGGGGGTGTGCAGGAGGCAGCTGATGGATGTTTCTCTCTCATCGATGTTTCTAACTATCTTTCTCCCTTCCTCTCTGTAAAAAATCAATAAAATATATTTTTTAAAAATTTAAATAGAAAATATTCTTCGATCTAACAATTTATTATAAGAGATACTTGCATATATAGTATACAAGGACACAAAAGAATTTTACAGAGGAATTGTTCATAATAACAACTATATGTAGCAAAACTCAAATATATGTAGCAATAGGAAGCTGGTTAAATAAGTTATGGCTATTCAGCGGAGTACTATGTAGATATTAAAGAATAAAATAGAACTAAATGTGCTGATATTTAGAGATAACCAATATGTTAAGTTAAAAAACTGAAGGCATTATATAGTATGTTACTTTCTACTTAAGTTACTACTTATGAAGCAAGTGATATGATGTCTGAAAATTTGCTTCCAAATATGTCTTTATAACCCTATCTAGTTTGGCTCGGTGGATAAAGTATTGGCCCACATACTGAGGGTCCTGGGTTCGATTCCAGTGAAGGGCACATGCCTCAGTTGCAGGCTCAATCCCCATCCCAGTCAGGCGCGTGCAGGAGACAACCAGTCGAAGTGTCTCTCTCACACTGATGTTTCTCTCTGCCTATCCCCTTTCCTTACACACTCTCTAAAAAAATCAATGGAAAAATACCCTTGGGTGAGGGTTAACATAAACAACAACAAAAAATCTTTACAGGATGAAAGAATATAGAGGGGAACAGAGAAAGCACAAGTTTGGACATGGGGATTCATCATACTATTTTTCCTATTCTTGTATACATTTAAATTTTTTCACAATAAAAGGTTTTAAAAAGTAATGCTGAAAAACAGAAACTAAAACTCCATTTTAAACGACCCAAACTTAAGACCATAGTTTAAGAGCACTATTTGTGAGCATGTAGTCTTTCTCCAAAAAACATCTGCATGAATATGTGCTAGGGACTATGATATGCACACAAAGTTAAGCAGGAAAAAACCGGCACTAGCCCCCATCCTAAATGCTTCAAGTTGTTCAAACTATCTGGGTCTGAGCTTCCTAGATCAGTGGTCACCAACCTTTAGGACCTCACGATCACAGGTTGGCTGTACTAGGTAACTAATAACGAGGTAAGAGCTGTAAGACAAAGTGCTAAAGGACAAAAAAGGGGTTAATTGTTCTCATGGAAAAAAAAAAATCTAGGTCCTAATAGGTTTCCTACAGAGAGAATGACATCTGAAGACTGGATTTTTCAGCCAGTGGATGGAAAACGGAGAGCGTTCAAGTATTCAGTGCAGAAAGAAGTTGCATTGAGTAAAAACAAAAGCCCAGGGAGAGAACCTGGCTTGTGCTGAGAATTCCAAGTAGCCTGCAGACTGCCCGCTGTGCTGGGGGTTAGGTAGAGTAGTGGCAGGCTGGCAGGGAGCCTCAGGTCATACTTACAGGCCTCATACGACAGACTGCATAATCTGAACACAGACAGGAGCTGATGGAAGTGTTAAAGCACAGAAGGGGTACAGGCATATTCTACCTCCATTTTAGAAATGACACTCTTTTGGCAGGATGAGTGACAGCCTGAAGAATAAAGGGCCAGGTACAAAGACTACTCACTAAGAAGCGGGGCCCAGGCCACAGAAATGGCAGTAGAAACTGAAGGGGGGGAAGGAAGGAGGATCTCAGAAGTGCTACAGACTGGATTCAGAGACTGGTTTGTGGGAGACTCAAGGTGCACGCAGGTTTGGAGGGAAAATGTGTTTTTCTCTGGAGCATTAACTCAGGTTAAACAGTGATATTATTAAGCAATGCAAGGAACACAGGCAGAAAAACCAAAGGCAACAATTCCGTTTTAAACACACTGACCTTGAAAAGCTTCTACCCCTCTCTCTACCCACAAGATAATTTTAGAACAGAAGTCTGTACTCAGGAAAGAAGGCTGCTACCGGGAGAAGTCAGGGAGGATGGCATGTGTGCTATGTGCAAAGCAGAAACTTCCAGAAAGAGTTTCCAGGCTAACCTAGACGTTGGAGCCCAGGTTAGCTCTGTCAGACCTTCAGGCATGCACCTCCCACACATGGCTTTTGTAATGGACTTTGCTTTCATTTCTCTGCTATTATTTAAAATAATCTTCATTTTAAAAAAAATATGTAGTACCTGAAAACACTGCTCATCTTCTTTTTCCTCTTTACAAACCAAGGGAGATGGACCATACAATGACCAGAGCGAGGTGCACTGTGGTCTAAGTCAGGCAAGACTTCTAGGCCCAAGTAGTTCTAGAATTCCAAGGAGTTTACCACAAGTGAGCAGAAGCCAGGCAAACCCAGCCCGCCAGGCCGCCTCCTGTGTAGCGGAGGCCTCAGATATGCCGATCAGAGATAAGGAGCACACCATGTCACTTAAAATATTTCACAAAATCCCACGTTACTCACCAGGCCTTTGATCCTGTTCCAGTGCACAGATTGAGCCCTGAACTCTTCTGTTTTTCCCAGGGGCCATCATCAATTGAAATCTCATAGTAGGAAGCCCTAAGAATGAAGAATAGAAAACTGGGTTTGCTGAACTGAAGGCTCACAGTAAATAAGACTGTCTTTCAGAACTGATGAGATCTACATAGAGCAGTCTGACTTAGTAGACACACGTCATGATGCTAGTGCTAATATTAAGTGAAAAAGTTAAAAAAAAAAAAAAAAAGTCTGCATCCCTCTCTGATCTATGAGCTCCTTTCTATCCATTCTTTCACATTCCATCAGGGCCTCTGCTAAAGTTTTCACCTGGCATTGCTGCTGCTGCTTTCATGCAGTCAAACATACACAGAGCCTTCTTTCAGAATTCAAAAAGAAAAACCATTCTTTGGTGAGTTTCTTTCTTGGTAGCCAGTCCTAGATATATTTAAGCCAGTCCTATTTCTAACCCTTCAAGTTACCAAGAGTTTCTGATAAATTTTTGTTGAGTTACACACTATTGTGCCTTTTGAATTGATAGTAAGCTAACAAATTCTAAAGAAAATTCTCAACTAGCACTGAACTAGTGGGCAGAACTAGAGATTGACACTTCGTAGAGTATTTCATCAAATGGTTTTTCTGGATAGTAGCAAAAATGATACTATTCTTTAACTGCATGAAAGTGTGATTTACAACTTCAAAGAACTTTTGAAAAATGTAAAAGTCTATTTTGTAAACTATCTCTTAAAATAATATTGTCACTAATCAACACTGGATTAGTTTTCTTTAGCAAATAAAAAAAGTTAAAATAAGCCAGCCCTTAATAAAATATAGCTTTTCAAAATTAATGAATTATTAGACATACTTGCAAACACTAACACTCAAGGGATAATCTAACCTTTGCTCTAACCCTTTTAATTTCTCTGACCAAGCTTTGGATCTGTGAAGGTTTTATATGATATATCTCCTTTTCATTTTTTCTCTGAACTCAGCACTCTTCATAAAAGTAAAAGATAGCTTAATATTCATAAAAGTAAAAGAACACTTAGTATTCACATTTAATCTACTTCATTGCTTTATTATATCTTTTTAGGAAATTAGGGATTTTAGTCTCATTAGGAGCCTTTTATATACAGACAAGCCAGCCAAATCACTGCAATGGTTGCTATGCCAGAATCACAAGGAAACAAGAGATTAGAGGTGAGTGGGGAGAAAAGCGGAGGTGCGAGGGAAGAAAAGTGATAGTCAGGTGAGAGATAAGGAGTAAATTCATTCTTTCATACAGGTTTATCAAGATTAGTCAACTCGGAATTTTTGTTTCAGGGAATTATTTTTTAAAGCAGCAATAAAACTCACAGTCCCTTTAGAGTGGGCAAACTTCTTCTTAAACTGTCCACTGCGACAGCCCAAGAAAATGACATTCTAGGTGAGAACACATAGGAGAAAAGAAAAAAAAATGGGCTTTTAAAATGTTCTTAAACTTAAGAACATTATAAATTAGGCAGGAATCATATTGCTGCACTTTGTATTTTTCAAGCAAGGCACGTAAGCTCTCAGGGCACAGTGAGCCTAGCCCAGGACCTGGAATCCGTTCTGATGCGGACAAGTTACTGAGCTCTCCGAATCTGTCTCAGTGTTCTCCTCGCAGGGTTGCTGAGAACATTACGGGTGACAGCAGGCACAGGACGCACAGTGCCAACACATCGCAGGTCTAGTAAGTGCTAGTAAGTGGCCATCACTTCCTTTCTGCCTGAGGGTCTCTCATAGCGTCTTTCAGAGTGACCCCTAATGCCTTCAGCGGTGAAACCTCTTTCAGCAGCATGGAGACAATCCTGCTGTCCTTATCTTAGTCAGGATGTAAGGTGAGGCATCAGAGCACAAAAAGCAGCAGCGTCAGACGTTAACTAGAGATAAACCACCAAACCACTACTGCCACAGAGAACGGAAGCATTCAACCAGAATCTCCTCCTGGGACTTCACCCAATGCCCAAAGCTATCAATTTATCCCAGCTCCCCTCCTTTTATACGTTATTTGATTTTTAGTAAGTACAAATTATAAAGCAACGCTAGCAGAAGCTCTCAGAAGTTACAACCTTTAAAATATACAGCTTTTAAAATGTTCAGACCACAATGACATAATATTATAAATAAACTACAATATAAGCCATTAAATGGTCTCCCTAGAGTAAAAGCATAAACTCACAAAACATTTTTACCTTTGACATTTTCTCATTTTAATAGCCTTTCTCCAATCTCATTCAAAATTGTAGCTCTCATGTCTTTAGCAATAATACCAGATTATATCACTAATCAGTTACATTTTCTTCCTTCTCCCTCCTATTACATAAATGTACCCATTATTCATGTCCATATTACTTCAGATTTGATATACAAAAAATAAACATTTTGTATACAGCATGTCTTACTATGTTAAAATAAACATTTTACATTTAATGTTAAGTTTTTAAAGAATATATTTTTATTAAAGAAATTTTACTTTTAATAATTTTTTAAGTTATGCATTTTACCACTGCCTTCCAAAATATTAAGATACCACAACCTTTTGTCTTATTCATCTTTATATTCCTAGTGGCTCTCATAATATACACAGCAATGCATAATATATTTTTGTTGAATAAATTTAAAGTTACATTAATCCAAATAATTACAACTACTCAGAACAATTGTTCAAGTCATCCTGTTGAATCAGTCACTTTCCAGTATTACCCAAAGGAAATCATTGGCTAAAACATGGGTAGCTTTTCAAATTAGGACAAATTTTTCTCATCCTAATTAAACTTATGAAAGAACGTGACTTACAGCAAACAGCATTGCAGAGTGTGTGGAACGGCTCTCAGTAAACTAGGGAATCCACCACAATGATTGCAAAAAGTGACAAGAAAGTGGGACAGAGACCCTCTCTAACCTTCAACCCCTAACTTACACATACAAAAAGGAGAAGGCGCTACCGAGAGCTAAATTAACTTTATATTGTAGCAGTCATTTATAACTAGTCACTAATGTCATTTTATAACTGGTAATGAACACAAAGTTTTGCAAAAATAATTCAACTGACAATTTAAGCGTAAGTTATATTCAACATCTACAAAACAGATTTCATCTGTAATAAAACTCTTAATGAAGAACTTCATCAATCTTAATTTTTTGCTAATAATTGTTACAAATTGAACTAAGGACGAAATTATCACTTACGCAGTATTCCTGCCAAAAATGGTTACTAGTCTGAATCTAATCATGCAGAGGGGGAAAAAAAAATCACACAAATCTAAAATAAGGGCTATTCTGCAAACCATCTGGCTTAGACCATTCAAAAGATTAATATCATGAAAGACAAGCAGGAGTGAGGCTAAGGCCCTGTTCTTAATTAATAGAAAGGGCCATGGTGGCCACATGCAAGGTGTGATCCTTAATTGAATCCGGGATAAAACAAGCAAACAAATCAGCTTTCACGAACATCACTGAGACAATTAGGTAAGTTTACTATGCTCTCTATAGAAGCTGTACACCAACTGCCAGTTACGCCGAGTAAGTATGCCATTCTCTTCAGCATGCATAGATAAATACAGTGCACCTGAATGACAGGTGGAAGGTTCTGCACTAAAGAACCTGGAAAACTTAGTTTGGCCTAGAGTTTCACAAACTTTTTGGGTCATAGAATCTTCTTTCTCTTTAATATGTATTAACGTGTATAAAGGTTTCAGAAACATTTCATCAAATAATTCATTTCTATTATTTAGACTTATTAATTATTCACAAATCTTAGGTGGTAGAAATTCAATAAATATCTACAAAATACTAACACGTTAAATTCCAAACTCAAGCTCACAGGTTTAGATGTACCTGGATGACAGACTCTCCCCAATGAATACTTCATTTAGTGCTCTCACCGGCAAAAGCTGGGGCCCTGAGGCCTCGGGCCCTGCAGGTAATGAAGAAAAAATCCAAGATAGCTCTTAGATTTTAGCAATGTTATGACATAAATTTTATAAAATTAAAATATCCATATTTTGTTGTAATAGAATCTATACTTTAACAGTATTAACATATACAATAAGTAACTAAAAGTATCCTATATAATAAAAGGATAACATGCAAATTGAACCTAACAGCGGAAAGACTTATTTTAGGATCGAATATATGGCGATGAAGGTGACTTGATTTTAGGTGATGGGCATACAATGCAATATACAGACTATGTATTATAGAAATGTACACTTGAAACTTACATAATCTTATTAACCAATGTTACCCCAATAAATTTAATTTAAAAAAAAAAAAGGACTCAATACCAGCTAATACTTTTCTATACAAAAGAATGGGTTATAATATTTATTAAAATTTGGATTTTTAAATACAGAATTTTTATACTATAATAGAGACAAGGGCTGCTACACTGTGCAATTCTCTCACACTGCCATCCTGGTAGACTGTTTTCAGGCCAACTCACACTGGATATACACGTGGGACTAACAACAGCCTATGGAACATGAGCAAAAATAGTACAAAGGCCTGCTCCTGAACCTTCCCTTAGACTCTCTTCACTTTTCTCCCGAATTCTTCTACCCAGGATCCAATAGAAGACTTAGAAGCCTGAGATGATAGGAACCACTGCTGGAAGTTGCTTGAACACTCCTTGGACAGTGAGAGGAGCTAGAATTAAACCTTCATTAAGTTAAGCCACTGGAATTTTGGGATTGTTTGGCACAGTGGTCGGCAAACTCATTAGTCAACAGAACGGCAATTAGGCAGGGCTGAGGGGACTGGGTGCCTTCATCTTTGTGACAGCGTGATAATCAATTTGCATATTCTATCTTTATTAGACAGGATTTGCTTCTTTATATAATAGATTAATTTAAGATTATGAGCTAAAAGCAGTGAACCTGAGATAGGAGTTTGAGCAGTGAACCTTTGAATACCAATCTACCTCTTTCCTATAAGACTGGGTGAAAGAGCCGAACCTGACCATCTTCTGGTGGGAGCAGTAACTTCTGGTGTGGGACAAAGTAAAATTTCTAGCTAAGATTTTTCAATCTTACTGAACAGGTGCTGCAGTCTTTCAAAATCAATAATGGGAATTTATATGCATGTAATTACTTAAAAGATTTTTACACTTGATCTTAGCCAAAAGGCCGAGAAGCGATACTTAAAAGATTTTTAAAATCAAATGATTTTTTTTTTTTTGTTTGGGAAGAGAAGGAACATCTTTAAAACATGACATGAACACACACACATTAGGAACATGCTAACCTCTAAAGCTATAATCACCATGAACTCGTAGAGTGGGGGTTAGATGAACATTAGGTACCACAACAGCACAGAAACAGAGACAGAAAGCAGATGTCTAAGATAGCTCTTCCTGGTAAGTTTAGTCAAGAAATGAAACACAGGAGAAAAAAATATCTAAGTAGGACATCTCCTAGGATGTTCTTGCACCATGAAAGTCTTAGAGCTAGGAGAAAAGTAGGAAAATAGAATCCACAAATAGGCTCAAAAATGAGAATTCACCTTAACTACTTATAACAAAAAGCTGCATATCACCCTATGCTAAAATTCTCTTAGCAGCTTACACAAATATTTGAAACACAAATGTGAAGGCTGGAATGCAAAATTTCCCAATATAAATGCTTTAATCAATAACTATAACTATAGTAAACATGTTTAAATATAACTATATAAATATACTAGAGGCCCAGTGCACGAAATCTGTGCATGGTGGGTGGGTGGGTGTGGTTGTGGGTGTGTATGTGTGTGTCCCTCAGCCCAGCCTACACCCTCTCAATCTGGGATCCCTCTCACAATCCAGGACTGCTGACTCCCAACTGCTCACCTGCCTGCCTTCTTGATTGGCCCTAACTGCTTCTGCCTGCCAGCCTGATAACCCCCTAACCACTCCCCTGCCAGTCAGATTGATGCCTAACTGCCCTCCCCTAGAGGCCTGGTCACTCCTAACTGCCCCTCCCCTGCAAGTCTGGGAATCCCCCAACTGCCCTTCCCTGCAGGCCCAGTCGCCCCCAACTTCCCTCCTCTGCCGGCCTGGATGACCCTAACAACCTTCCCCTGCAGGCTTGATTGTCCCCAACTGCCCTCCCTTGCAGGCCATCTTGTGGTGGCCATCTTGTGTCCACATGGGGCCAGCCATCTTCTGTGTTGAAATGAAGGTCAATTTGCATGTTACTCTTTTATTAAGATAGTATAGAGGCCTGGTGCCTGGGTGGGGGCCAGTTGGTTTGCCCTGAAGGGTGTCCCAGATCAGGGTGGGGGTTCCCTTGGGGCATGTAGCAGCCTGGGAGAGGGGCCTGTGGTGGTTTGCAGGCCAGCCACACACCCTAGTAACCCAAGTGGAGGCCCTGGTATCTGGGATTTATTTATCTTCTATAATTGAAACTTTGTAGCCTTGAGCAGAGGCGAGGGCAGGCCAGGGCTGCAGGAAGCTTGGCTTCCTCCTTAGGCATCAACTTCCTCCAAACCCAAGCCTCCTGATCCCTCTGTGGCCGTAGCCATCTTGATTGGGTTAATTTGCATGCTCGCTCCTGATTGGCTGATGGGCATGGCTTGTGAGTGTAGCAGAGGTACAGACAATTTGCATGTTTCTCTTTTATTAGTGTAGATAATTATTATGAAATCTTTCACAGATTAGCTCATTTTAGTTCTTCTGCTTTATTTTTCCTTTTTGATCTTTCAAAAATTAAGGTCAAGACTCTTTCCTTAAATATCATCTACCTCCGTGGACATTTTCAAACCCATCTTAGAAAGCATTTCTCTTAGAAATATGCTGTATTTCTTGCCGAAACCGGTTTGGCTCTATGGATAGAACATCGGCTTGGGGACTGAAGGGTCCTGGGTTCGATTCCGGTCAAGGGCATGTACCTTGGTTGTGGGCATATCCCCAGTAGGGGGTGTGCAAGAGGCAGCTGATCGATGACTCTCTCTCATGGATGTTTCTAACTCTCTATCTCTCTCCCTTCCTCTCTGTACAAAGTTAATAAAATATATTTTTTTAAAAAAAGAAAAAAAAGAAAAGAAATATGCTGTATTTCTTACTTCAGTGTCTAATCATAGTAAGTTTTACACTTGAAATAGTCCACTGTACTTCCTTAAGTATTGTCAGTGGCACTGAAGTTAGTTATAAAGTATTACTTTTAGAAATTAGACATCAAAAGAACTGTAAGTTAAATATTGACCCAAATACATCTAACCCCCAACCCACTTACTGTCATCATGAACTCTGTCAATATTGAAGGCTCTACTGTGTTGACTCAAACTTAGCTGCTGTTCGTGAAGGTCCACAGGAATGGGATTGATGCCAGTCCCTTCAAGATATAACCTGATACGCTGCCTCCACAACCACCTGGGAAGAGTGAATGAAAGCAAATTATGTTAGACATAATAAATTAAACTAAGAATTAGACATTATAATTTCACCACATTAAAAATTCATTTAAAAAACTTACTTGTTCCAGGAACAAATTATACTAGAAACACTTAAAATTCACAGGTTCCTACTAAAAGAGATTTAGAAGTTTACTTCTTTGTTTGATCATAATGGAAATACCTAATGTATGTGTACAAAATGTCCCAAACTTGAATTAAAGTCAAATTCTTTATCAAGGGAGTCTGACCACTGAACAAATTCAGTGAAAGAAATATGAGGGGAAAAACCATCTCCATTGCTTAAGAAACACTTTAATCTGTAAGACAGGGATACCAAAAATCTCAGCAAGGGATGGACTCTCAGCCATTCTGGACGGGAGAAGATGAGGACAAAAAACATAAAATCTCAGCAAGTTTGAACACTCAGTTTTAGCCAACAGTTTCTACTATCTTTCTAAGATTATGTAACAAGGATAAGAAAGTAGAGACATGGCTTCTATCTCACTAAAGGAAAAAAACCTCTATTAACGATTACATACTAATATAAGCCAAGTGGCATTTGTCAGGGATTCTCTATACAGTTCTGACTGGATTAGAATAAGACAAGTTAGATGTGTTTGTGACTCAGCTAATATATTACATTTTATGGCTACTGTTATAATTGTGGACTAATCCAAATATTACCTAATTCTGTTTAACAGTATTTTAACAATACACATTTATTAAGATATTTATAAAACAACAGAAAGAAATTCCTACCTGAACTCACCACGATAGAACTTCTGTAAGGCTTCTGGGAAGGAATGTGTGTAGCGAACAGGAAGACACAAATGACCCTCAGACCTTCATTTGAAAAGGGGTTAGAGGTGGTGCAAAAGGAAGAAAAAAAGAACTTAATTCAAAAATAAGATACGAATTTTTTAATTTCAACTCTATATTAATTTGTTTTGCCACAAAATTATCTATTTTCACCAAAAACAAAGAATAGACATAGAGTTTAAATCCAACTTTACTGCCACAATACACAATACTACTTAATTTCCACATTATAGTGAAACTGAAAATAGCAAATTTGCCACAGACTGACCACCCTGCAAAATTGTCTAATGGTACAGTGGTGTCTGAAGCTGACCCTGAAATTATCTAACTATTAATTTTGGGCAAGTCACCAGCTTCTTCATCTCTAAGCTATAAACCCAACAATCTCCAAAGGTTATTCTGAGGAATCAAAGTATTTATGTTAAAGTGTTTTGAACTATAAATCCCTTATAAATCCCTTTTAAATTAAACATCATTTAAGATATTCCAAGTCACTAAAACTCAGAAAGTTTAATCCAATGTACCGCTTCTTTTTCTCAAAAACCATATCAAGGATGAACTCCTTCGAGGAGTAAACATCATGATGCAGAAGAAAGAATTTATTGCAAACTGCAGTGTGTGAAGGTTGCCTATAGGCTGCTACGGAGAGGTGAGAGAATATAGCAGCTACCATGATGAAAGGGGTCCAGGAAGCTCAATGATCGTCAGTCTCGAAGGAAAGATGGCTTCAAGGTTGAGAATAGGCTTGGCAAAAAACAAATGCTTGGGAATACTGTAAGTTAACGAGAACGTGTGAAGAGCAGAAAACAAGGTTTTCATGAAGTTGTGACTAGTCAATTTCTTTATCTGAGAGGTCACCACAGGTTAAAAGCTTTATGTTCACTGCGGTACTTTACACGGTGCTAAGTATGTAACAGGTATTAACAGTCATTTGATAGAAAATACCTGCTAGGTCAACAGCGGGTCTAAAACCCTCAGGAGAGGAGAGCCCTCATGAGGTTGGTCAGATCAGCAGCAGCAATATCAGCATCGGAAAGCTTGACTTAGCCTGGAGGATTCACTTTCAGTGTGGCTCTCTCACATGCCTGGCAAACTGGTGCCAGCTGTTGGCAAGAGGCCTGGTTCCTCTCCAGGGAGCCTCTTCATGGGCTGCTTAGGTATCTCACACCGTGGAGCTGTCTTACCCCAGAACCAGCGATCCAAGAAGCTGCAATACCAGGGACAGCCTGGCCCTGGAGCCTGTGGCACACACAGGCACACCACATTCTACTGGCCAGGACCAGAACTGTGGCACACACAGGCACACCACATTCTACTGGCCAGGGCCAGTCCTGTGGCACACACAGGCACACCACATTCTACTGGCCAGTCCTGATGGAATGCAGAGGGGCGGGAACCACAGAAAGGTGTAAATACTAGGAAGCTGCTAACCTGGAGGCTGGTGCCACATGCCCGCTCTCACATTCTAATATTAAGCACTGGAAAATGTCGTATTTACCAGTCTCAATAGAAAGGGTGCAGACACAGAAGACACAAACAAATTATGTATTGCATTTAGATGAGCCCATGTAAGGAGCCATCTTAGAAGTGGATCCCACAGCCTAAGGCAAGGCTTCAGCCGGCCTAAGTCCAAGTGCATCCGACTGTAACTTCACCAGATCCCAAGCCAAACCCGCCCAGCTGAGCTGTCCCGAATTCCTGACACACAGAAACCCAGAGAGGTAATCAGTGATTGTTATTCACGCCTCTAAGTTTTGGGCGACTTGTTATGCAGCATTTGATACCTAATACAGAGAAAAAGAAACTTAAGCTGAACAATAACTTCTGGCGCTTACTTAAGGTTGTGAGGGACCACAGTGCTTTAAAAAAAAGAAGTCAGGCAACCTGAATTACTGAACAAGCCCACAGGCTAATCCACTTCTGCTGAAGGCAAGGAGAGAAACGATGACTTCTAAAACCCATTATTCTAGGTAAAATTAGAGGCAACACCATCTACTTCTAGTTTCAAAATCCCCGTAAGATTACGAGCATTAAGTCATCTGTTTAAATATAGTTTAATATAATCAACTGTATAAAGTATCTAGAACCTCTTTAAAGATACAAAAACAGTTCATTAAAAGTTCTAAAATACATATACAATAAAGTTAAAAAATAATCACAGAACCAATTATCTCAATTCCTTATGCTCAGTGAATAATAACAAGGATGGAGTCCTAGCCCTGCTCCCTGAAATCATTTAATCAATCATTCTTTTCAATGCTTACTGCCTACTGATGACATATCTATATATCCATATATATAAAAGAGTAGCCTGCAAATCGCCAGACAGCAGAAGGACTGGTCGGGGTGTCCAGCGGGGTGATCAGGGCTCTGGTGTAGACCACCAGGGCGCAGACTACCAATGCAGGAGCTGCCCCCAGCCCACAGGCCCTGATTACCTGATGGGGCCTGTTGGCCAACCTCTTGGTCCCTTCCCCAGCCAGCAGGCTCCAATCACCTGATGGGGAACGGGGTGGGTGATGGCAGATATGGGCCACACCAGGGCCCCATCATCCCGCTGGTTGCCCCAAACACAGAGTGCAACCGGCAGCAGTGGCAGGAAGGTGGGGGGTGGGGGATCACCAGGGAAGATTGGCCCTGATTGCAGGCCAGGCCTAAGGACCCTATCCATGCAGGAATTTCGTGTGCTGAGCCTCTAGTAATACTATAAATAGTGCTAGAGAAAGTAAAGCACAAAGTCCTGTACTCAGGGAGATCAGTCAAATGGAAGAAAGAATCAAGCAGAAACAATAGAGAGGTAAATACTGCCTGTGCAGGACTTACAGTCAGAGCCCAGGAGAGGACCAGTCCAGATGAACAAGAACTACCCCAGTGAGAAAGCAGTATAAGGGCACTCTAGGCAAAGGCACACAATGGCATGAAAAGAACACAGCCTGTGGGAAACTACTTATTCTTTCAGGTCAAATACCAACAGAGCTCCTCACTAGCAAAGGCCTCACACTGAGCCTCCACCCATGGTGTTAGCAGATGCTCAGCCGTTACATGTGCATTAAGCACAGCCTTTACAAACAGCCCTGACAAAACAGGGTGAGTTGGTCACCCAGTTTAGTAAAGATTTAGATTTTATTCTGGGTTAATGGCAATCACCATAAGATTCTGAGCAGAGAAGTCACAAAACAGTATCAAACTTTCATAAAATGATCACTCTGGCTGCAGCGGGGAGAAGAAATATAAGTAAGAGTAAGAATGGAAACAGTCAACGTTGGATATAAGGATTTTCAAGTCACCAGGATCTAAGTTAAAACCACAGATATTAATCAGTTATTCTAGAGGCAGTACAGCCCAGAGGATGATATGTGAAAACACCAGTATATAAGCAGTGACCAAACAATAAGATCCATCAGGAGGTAGAGAGAAGACGCAGCCATAGAGGGAGAAAGAAGGGGGTATCATAATGCCAGAGAGGCACAGATGTAACAAGGGGGCGGTTAGCACAGACATTTCCCGGAAATCAAGTAAAACAAGAGCTCAGTGTCCAGTGGGTTCACTAACCAGGTCTCGCCCCTTTGTGAGGCAAAGGCAACAGCAATGGGCTGGTTGGGGCGAATCCAGAGAAGACTGAGGTTTAGAGAATAACTGTGAAGTAAGAAAGTGGAGGTACCCAGCTTTGAGATAGAGGAAAGCCAAAGGAATAACCAAAAGTGTGACACAGGGTAAGGAATTCACTAAAATTTCCTGAAAGATGGGAGTCTTAAGTGTTTAGCCTAAAAGGAAATCGTGTGTGAAGGGAGAGAAGAAAAAAGGGAACAGAACAAGATATTTTTACGCATGAGAAAAGCTGAATTCTTATCCAGTGACTTCCAATTCCTTTGTGAGAGAAGGGAAGGGTGTGTTGAAGAAGAGCAGGGAGGACACAGGTTGAAGAGCCATTCTTGAAGGAGCTGCCATGGGAAATGGGGAAGAGGGATGACTTGGGCCAAATAGGAAGTTTATCCAACAACAGAGAGTCCAGTTCTAAGTGTTAGGAACTACAAATGGAAAGTAAATTTGGGCCACCTAGCCCAAGTGTGGTCTCAACTGTGGTGATAAAAACTGACCTAGGACTAAGTAGAAAGATGACAATGCAAAATAATTAGGAAATTTGTCAAGAAAATGAATAAGGGAGAATTAAGTGAAGGAAATAAGAGAGGATCAACTCAGTACAAGTCAAAGGGCAGACTTGAGAGATGGGAAAATTCTAGATGACTAGAAAGCCCAGGTCTAATCATGGCTGTGGGCAACTGGAACAGAATGAGGGTGAATGTCAACAAAGCTGAGGAAAGAAGGAAAAAAAAATGCAAACAGGATTTGGTCTATTCACTAAGTCAATGAAGTCACCAGAAAAATCAGTGGAGGCATAAGCAGGAATGTCAGTGAGAACGTTAGAAAAGACAGAAGATGGAACGTTAACTCATCACTCCTTGCAGCAGCACACCCAGCAATGTGACCAGCGTACAGACAATTACGAGGAGCTTCCAAAAGTTAAGACTTATCATACACAGATACTATGCAAAGAAAACATAAATGTTTTTGTATTACACTAAAAAAGAATCCAAACAAAAACAGGTTTTTCCTCACCGTTCTGGATCCGTGTTCACGCCAATCACCGGTTTAAGTCTGTCCAGCACTTTGCTTGCTGCCAGAAGCATTGTGCCGTCACCTGAAGGCCAGCACAGACCAGACTTGTTGTAAAACTAGTTTCTAACATCATTTGAACTCCAGTACTTTTAACAATCACACCACCGCCAACCCATCTGCTGACTGTCACAGTCATTCCACTTCCTCTCCACCCAGCGTCCCTTTGCCTTCTCTCCCACTCTAGCTTAGGATTTCCCAGCAGTGGCAGGACTGCCGTCTTCACCCAGATGATTCTTTGTCATGGGAGCTGTCCTGTGCATTGAAGATGGTTAGCAGCAGCCCTGGCCTCTGCCCACTAGATGCCCTCCCTCACTGGAACCTACTCTAACCAGATCACTTCTATTGGCTGATCCTCTATCTTCCTCTCATAACATCATCCAAACTCACAAATTGTTTTAATCAGAACATGTCCAACAAAGTGTCCAATTTCAGAATTTTCTCTCCAACAAATGCTGTCAACCTAAAGCTTTAGAAAAAAATGTTCACTAACTTAATAATAAAGCTTGGGGGGGGGGGTGTATGTAAATTGGGGCCAGAGAGGGATGGAATTTATCTAAACTCATTAAACTATTAAACAACTTTAATTTTTAGTTATACCCAAGATCGGCATAACTAAACCAAAATACAGTAACAACTAATCCTCTGAATCCTACTTGAAGTTAAATACACACCTTGAGAAGACACAAATATATGCATGGAACCTCAAAGTAACATCGTTCACTAAAGAGGGACATGCTCTCTAAGCCAGACCCTAAAAACCCAGAGCCTTGTCTGTGGGAGAAGCACGCCTGAAAGCATTACCTCCTGCAGCTATGACGGCATCCGCCCAGTGGACAGTTTCCTCATCGTACTCTCTCCTCTTCACCAGGCGAACCTCAATGCCCTCCTTCCTGAGACAGAGAAGTAAAGGTTACCTGAAAGTTCCACTCACAGCATCACAAGGATGTTTTCTGAGAGGCAAATCATTACAATGAAGATGTAAAATAAACTATTTTGTTTTATAAACAAATTTATGTTTAGCTTTGTAAGGTTAGCTTCATTTTCTTTTAATTGCAACAGCCCATTAACTATAAGTCATGAAGCATATGAATAAACTGAAAGTTAATGACGATCCCAAATCTCTTTAAAAACATCTTTTATAGCTATGACAAAGGAAAGACCATTTTTAATTTATAAAACTGAATCGTCATTATTTTAAATCAAATAATACCCACTTGAGTGCAAAACCCTGAAATAGTGACTACTTTCTAATTTGCATGTTCTTACAGATTCTCCTGTATACACATCAACGCAGTCACTGACTAAATTTACCTCAAATTAACAGGTTTCTAGGATTATTTTTAGACATTCAAAGAATATCACAGTGAACACCCATATAACCAACCCAGTATTTTGTTTAAGAAATAAAACATTACACCTACAGTTGAAGCCTGCTGTGTACAGAGTTAACCCTTTGTAGAAAAGACATTTCTCAGACAGACCAAATTATAACTGAAAATCTGGGAAATTTTCAGAGTATATTAAAAATTTCCTTTAGAAATACTATAGTATCAGGTCCATTAACCACAATATAATTTTCTGAAGTGATTTTATAATGGCCATCTTTATTTTAAAATCTAATAATTAGCTGCTAGGTAGAGAAAAATTGCAATTCGTGAATACAAAAGCCCGCCCAAAATCCAATCACAGACTTACCGTAAACTGTCTAGAATATGCTCTACATTCTTGGTGTGAATACGATGGCGTTCAAGAAGTCCACTGTAGCTAGAGCCTTTCAAGGCAAGCTACACAAAAATAAAACAAGTGTCGTCTCATTACATGATACAAAGTACATATGACATTTCTTCAAAAAGCCCTACAGAAAACAGAATGTGGTTTTTATGTGAAGGCACATTTTAATGACTACCTGTGAAACAAGTCTAAACTGAACCAGGAAGTCTAGTTACAGGAAAATCACAGCCAATAGATGTGTTTTAATACCAAATACATCATTAAGTTTCCCGAATCATCTAGTCAATAGGGTCTCATCATTTGCCTGTTTTACAGCTTGAGTGTTTTATTCAGTTAGATCAAGGATAAACTAATATTTTAGCAGGCAGTTGACTTTCTTCCACTGGGATTTGGAGCTCTCTTGTACTTAGATTTTCGAACTCTGATTTGGTATTTATCTTATTCCAAACAAAGGCTGGTTAGCTCTCAGAACAGGTAACTTTTAGATATAAAGACATGTATCTTTCAAGAACCCTTTCCCAGTCCCTCAGAGTGACATTCTATTATGTGACCATCTTACCATTTAATACTCTCTTTTAAAGCGTGTCTTCTAAATAATCCATAAAGTAAAATGTTAGAAGTTTAGAAATATCCTTAATAAATGTCCATTTAATCAAGTACTAGGAAATTTATCTACTAGAATAAATGCTAGAACTAAAAGCATGGTTAGCCAAGGCCTGTTTCACTCAGTGATTGGAGTGTCGGTCCGAGGACTGAAGAGTCGCAGGTTCTTTTCCAGTCAAGGGCACCTACCTGGGTTACAAGGCTCCATCCTGGGCCAGGTTGAGGCACATGTGGGAGGGAGCCAATAGATGTCTCTCTCACACATTGATATTTCTCTCTCTCCCCCCCCCTCCCTTCCACTCTCTCTAAAAAAAATCAATGGAGAAAAATATCCTTAGGTGAGGATTAACCACAACAAAAAACATTATTTTATTTCCTTCTCCAAATTCCCTTATACCTTGCCTCTTTGATACAAAATCAGTTTTAAGTACCTGTCTAAAATGTAATTTTAAATATATTTTTGTTTTAAATCATTACTTACAGATTATAAAGTAAAACCAATTTTAGATAGAATTTTTAAAATATTTTTTTTTACTTTTTTAAAAGGTTATAATACAATATGAAAGATGCATATAAAAAAAATCTTAATTCAATATAATTGTATTACTCCAGGATGATTTGTATTAATAATATTTTAACACCTACCTTCCCAATCTTTTGTTGAAAGTACTGAGTTAAGAATTTTAAAATAGCCTTGGCTGGGTGGCTCAGTTGGTTAGAGTGTCAACCCAAAAGGTTGTGGGTTCGATTCCAGGTCAGGGCCCATACCTAGATTGCAGGTTTGATCCCTAGTTGGTAGCATCTACGAGAGGCAGCCAATCAATGTTTATCGCTCACTTAACTCTCTCTAAAATCAATGAAAAGAACAGGTGCAGAATGGCTTAAACATGTTGTCACTGAACACAGAGATGAGACATAGAAAAAGATGCCTCACTGTGTTGATTTGCATGTGTAGATTATTTCTAGAAGCACACATAAGACAAGGATTAATCAGAAATGAAGTTCAACACGCAGACAGGCGCCACTTCTTGAAGAGACTTGCTGGGCACACTAAAGATCACGAAGGTTCATCTATAGCAGTTTCTCCAAGTGTGATCCTGGAGAGCGTGTGTTTTAAAATGCTGAGTCGGCGGCTTTCTGGGTGAGGTTCAGAGAGGCAGAGTCTGGGAGCTCTCCACAAAGTAAGTCAGAATCTCGGAGGGGTTGGGGAGACTAAGATCCAGGCATCTTCACTTTAGCAAAGTCCCTAGCTGACTCCAGGGTGGGGGGAGCTTTGGAGGAGTTCTAAGCAGAGTGAAGTGGCCAGATGTTCATGTCAGATAGATCACGTGGTGCCTGAGTCTGGGAGATTGAGAGGAGTGGGTTTTCCGTTAGGAGGCTCTGGCAGTATTCCAGATCACATTCTTCAACTTGACAAATACACATATTGCATACCTATACTCACTGCACACCATGTGGCAACAGTATTATGTGCCCAATGAGATCTAATTGCAACAAAACTTAAGCTACACCATTGTTTTCAGAAAACAGAGTAAGGCAAACAAAATCCAAGGCACTACATGTCCCAAACCTATTAACAAGACAATATCTAGGAACAGTTTAATCCTGTAATAGAGGGGCTGCTAAATGCAATTATCTATCCCATTTTGAAAATATATTTTAACACTCTATATGAGAACCATTAAAGGGGGTTGCATCTAGGATTGTTAACACCCGCAGCTGGGGGAGAGGAGAGTGGAAACTGCTCATTTCTAATTTGATATAGATCAAAGTATTTTTCAATAAAACCTTCTTTTTTGACCAGTAAGATATGTTTATGATGCCAAAATCCTTTTACTAAAGTTCCACATTTGCTAAGTTACATCTTATGATGTAAATTATAATAATAGTTTAATTAAACCTTGCAAGGTCATGAGCTAGTAAAGAGAAAATCCTTGACTAGAAATCCTCAACTCACAGGAAAAGTCATTGATCAGTTAGGGGAAGGGAAAAGCAAGACTTAAAAATTAAGCAATGTAACCAGTATGAAAGAGTCACTGATAAAATTTGAAGGATGCAAACCTATTTTGTGCATGCTTTATTAACTAAACAGTATTTCCTCCAGTTGCTTATGTCTCTACAAAGTTAGAAAACCATGAGGCTTCCGGATATAAAACTGTACTGGTGTTCCACCCTCATCTTCCCTTTTCATTTTTACAGGTAACCTAAGTAACCTAACTGAGATCTATTTGCAACAAAACCACCACCACCATAAAGAGAGAAGCCTCTGATACAAATCCTGGTTACCATGACACTACAGACAGCCACCATGGTGCCCAAAGACTCAACTAAGCACTTGTCTCCTTTCTTTTTTACCCAATTCACATGACCTTATACCTTAGTACCTTTTACCCCCAACAAAATAGCAAAACATGTTAATCATTTTCCCATTCCTAATACAGAATCCCATTTCAGAACAACTTCACCCCGTCTAGTATTCTGCGGCTTCCTCCTGACCTCTGGTCTGGGCCCCACCTAATGCTAGTCCATTCTGAATAATGGCCTTCGTAGAAATGGGAAAACTAGCCCAATAATACTTCATTGAAATAAAAACAACTGTTTCAAAACTGTGTTCAATAGTCCACAAGTTCTACTTCAAAGTTTTCTTATTCCAAACAGCATTACCCAGTGGTAGACAAATATTTACCTATTAGAGATTTCTCTCCGGATACCATGTGGGGACACTAGGCAGTTCGGTTTTACCGATTTGCCTACATTTAAAAAAGTTCTGGTAAGTGGCAATCTAGGTCAGAGGTCCAATAATTAATCTAATTCAGATGCCACTCCCCTTCTCGAGGCCTTGGAAAAGCTAACCGGGTTCAGCATGGCCGAATTTTTAGGATTTTGGAGGCTATCTAGTCCAACCTGTACTTCACGTGCTGAGTCAGGTACCAGCACTTTGAAAACTGCCAGTACTGCACAGAAAGTACTATCCACCCAGGGGTCCCGGCTAAGTTCAAAAGACTCATCAGAAGAAAGTTAATCACAAAACCTGGGCCTGATTACTCCACTCCTAACCCTCAACCCCACACTCAGAACATCCCAATCAAGTGTACTATTTTACTTTATTTTTAAAATATATTCCTTCATTTATTTCAGAGAGGGAGAGGGAGAAACATCAATGATGAGAAAGAATCATCAATCAGCTGCCTCCTGCACACCCCCTTACTGGGGGACAAGCCCACAACCGGAATGAAACCTGGGATCCTACGGTCCGCAGGATGAAGCTCTATCCACTGAGCCAAACCGGCTAGGGCACGTGTACTACTTTAAATTGTTGTGGGAGGTTTCCACCAAGTTGTACGAGAACATACTTATGGGTGTTCTTAGGGCGTTTCACATTTCTAAGACGGAGATCTGGAGAAATTAGGAGTACCGCCCAGCCCGAGGGACTTACCCTTTTCCCAAAACAGAAGCACCTGCTTCTGATGGTATTCCCTGCCTCACACCCTAACAAACTTAACTCCAACCTCCTGCTCCACCGGTTTGCTGATCACCTCCTTTAAAGGAGGCAACTGTGTCTACCGATTGCTACTGTTTTCTAGTACCTGCAACTGTTTTCCATTCAGCCCCTCCTGGAGAGGAGAGAAAACACAACCTGCACCCGCACTCCGGCAGAGGAAGGCAGGATCGTGCACTGGGCACTTGAGCAAAGATATCTTCCAGTTTTACTTGGATACCTCCACAGAATATTACAAACAAACAAAAAAAAAAATTGCTGAAGGTAACACACCAGCCGTTCGGGACTGGCCGTCTATCTGGCACAGATCCTACAAGATGAGAGTGCCAGGCCGTTCATCCCAAAGCCCTTCGCCGCAGGGTCAACAGTTAGAGGCGCCGTGGAGATGTCTGCAGGCCAACTGTTCACGGAAGCATCCTCACTCCCCTTTTCCTAAAACGGGCGCAGGGGAGCCCGGGGCCACGCGTTCCAAAAGGCGTGCACGTGTGCAGGGCTCTCCCTCGGTGGGTTAGATACCCTGCACACAGACCAGTGCATGCACGCCCACCCCGGACACGGCCTCTGTGGAGGCCCGCTGTATGGTGGAGGTCCGGCATGGCAGGTCCGCTGCCCCCTGCCCTGCCCGTGCCGCTCACTTCCATCGAGCCGTGGTCACGCTCCTCCCCGCTCCCGGGCAGCGGACATTTGCTCTGGAGACAAACGCTGGGCCCGGCCTGCCCGCCGCTGCTGCGGGGAGAGGCTCCCGGACCGGCCTGAGCGCCCGGGGCGCCCGCCGAGCCCAGGGGGTGTGTCCGCGGCGACTCCCCTCCGCGGCGGCCGGGCCGCTCCCCCGGGGGAGGCCGGGGGCGGGGGGTCTGCAAGCATCCGGGCCGCAGGCGCCAGCCAGGCCCCCGGGGCTGCTGCGCCCATGAAAGGGTGCGGGGGGCGCGTGCGAAGAACCCCTGAAACCCTCCCCTGCGGGACCCCTCGCCCATCGCAGGCTTCCCGAGACGCCCCGCGCGCGGGGTCTCTGCACGAACAGGGCCCCCGCCCCCCCCCCGGAGACAAGGGGGCTCCCCACGGGCGAACCCAGAGCGAGTGGGGGCGCGAGCGGGGCCGGCGGGGCGCCTGGGGCAGGGGCGCGGGCCCGGCCGGCGGGACCCACCAGGTGCTTGAGGTCCTCCTCCGAGAGCTCCGCGTAGCGGTACCGCTGCTGCTCGAACTCGTAGCGGGTGGTCTTGGCCACCACCACCACCCGGGACGGCCGGAAGCCGCCGTCGGGGCGCCGGCCGCAGCCCGCCAGCTCGCCCGCCGGCCCCTGCCCCAGGCGCCGCCGGCCGCCGCCGCCCGCGCCCGGAGCCCGCAGCGCCGCCCGGCCGCCCGCCACGCGCCGGCAGCCGCCCAGCAGGAAGCCCCGGTAGCACGTCATCGTCCGCCGCCGAGTCCGCCCGCGCGCCGCCCCGGCCGCTGCCGCCCCGGCCGCGCTGGGCGCCGGGCGGCCAGAGGTTAAGTGCGGGCCTGCGCGGCCCGCGCGGAGGGGGACGCGCCGGACGTTGGCGGGGGCGGGCGCTGCGGCGATTGGCAGGGGCGGCGCCCACGCGCGGGAAAGGGGGCGGGCCGAGCCGCGGCGCCCGGGGGGCGGGTTTTGTTTGTTTGTGGTGGTGTCTCCGCCCGCGCCTGCGCAGACGCCGCCTGGCCGCCCGCGGGCCGCTTCTCGCCCCGCCCCCTTTCCTGCGGGCGCTCTCCCGCCCGGCCAACTCTCTCGGCCAATCAGGCCCTAGCCAACTCTTCTCAGCCAATCAGGCCCCAGCCAACTCTCTCAGCCAATCAGGCCCCTGCCAACTCTCTCAGCCAATCGGAACGCGCTGCGCACGAGGAGCTGCGGGGATTGGCTGCGGCCGGGGGAGGGCTGGGATTCTCTTTGGCATTGGAGCTGCCCCTAAAGAATCCAGCTAGGACAGGTCGTAGGCCACCCCGCCTGGGCAGCAGGCTGGTGTTTGAAGGGCTGCTGGGAAGGCTTGTGGTGGGCATCTTGCAGCGGTTCTGTCGCTTTTCATAATTGCATGTAAGGCTAGGCCACAACCCTGGCCCGGGGTGGCTCAGTGGGTTGAGGTTGGTCCCATGCATTAAGAGGTACGGTTGGATACCTGGTGAGGGCACAGATCCAGGTTCCGGGCTCGAACCCCAGTGGGGTGCCTGCAGGAAGCAGCCTATGGATGTTTCTCACGTGGATATTTCTCTCCCTCTCCCTAAAATCAATTTAATTTTTTTTAAATCACATAAATGTAGACCTGTTCCTTATTGCTCATAGGACTAGACTTTTTTTTATTCATTCAACCAACACTTGTTGCATGGCTGATATTTACAAGGCTGGTCCAAGGCCTGATGAGACCTTCCCAGGACCAGCTGCATAATTTGCAGGGCCTAGTGCAAAAGGAAAATGCAACGCCCCTTTTTCAGAATTGGTTCAGAATTGAAAGAGAGCAGTCAGCCGAGCGTTGAGCCCAGCTAAGCTAGGGCTCTGTCACAGTCCCTGCTGACCACCAAACAGAAAACTTAGCTCAAAGGAAGACAGAGCTGGGTAGCCTTTGAAAAAGTTAGTTCATGGGTGGAGTAGTCTGGCCAAACGCAGCATTTCCAGATAAGGTTGAAAAAGTAGGACAAGACCAAAGGGTTGAGAATGTTAGTAATTTGGACTTTATTCTATGAATAGGTAGTGGTTAGCCTTTGAAGGCTTTTAACTGCTGAGTGGGTCCTGAAAGCAATGTTTGATGACTATCGATCTGGCTTTGCAATGTTGAGCACATCGGAGGGCAGGAGGAAGAAGGGAGACTTGGGTGCTGTTGGCAACAGTTTCAGGTGGACCTGGGCTGGGAAAGTAGAAAGAGAAATGGAAGAAAATGCTCCTGTTGTAAGAGGAGACTCAAATGGCAGCGCACACACTAGTGTTTTCCCATCCTGCTCCTTAGATCCACTTGCTCTGACCTCCTCTCTGATCTTCTGTAGTCCTAGCGCTATCAGTAACTAGCATTTGGACTTTGGGCAGGTTACGTCACCTTTCCTGACTCCCAATTCTCCACTTGTCATCTTTCCTGGCTCCCAATTTCCCACCTGTAAACGGGGGAGCTGGACTGCAGTGATACCATGGTTCTGTCAAGCCCAACTTGATTCTGAATCTGTGACTCTCACTTTTCACCTAGCACCTATCTCCAACATTCATTCATGGGTTAGTTGGATATTGACTGGGTCCCTACTGTGTGGCAGGTAGTCTATTATGTGTGTGTGTGGGGGGGGGGGGGTGTTTCTCTCTTTTCCACGTCCATCTCCATCACAGAAAAGGAAACAGTCAGGTTGATGAGTGGAGGAGCTGGGGATTAAGAAATTAAAGAAAGAAAGAGACAGAGGCAGAAATAGATTCATAAAGCTGGGAGCTAGGTGGGAAGAGGCAGAAAGACAATGAAGACCCCTCCCAGTGCATTTATTTTATACCCCAATTACCAGGAAATAACACCAAAACTTAGGATCAAAAGAGCTCATTTGCATTCTTGAGTAGGCCCTAGCATTCCTGTTGCTTGTTTGGATTTACATATCTAGTCCCGCCCCTGCCGATACCTGGGCTTGATAGGAAGGCCAAGCTGATTACATTTTCCGCTATCTTGGGAAAATGTGTATCGGAGCGTGGGCTCTGCCAGTTGTCTCAGACTCAACTGACAACTTAAAGGAAAATGCCCATGTGCCTTCCCAGATGACCCTTTACAATATTAAACTAGAAGGTACACCATGGAGTCTGGTAGATGTCTGCTTCTAGTAGTCGCTGATCCCTCTGGCCAGGAACTTTGCCTTACAGCAGCTGCTAATAGTGTTCTACAGAAGAAACCTAAGCATAGCTTCCCACTTCTGTAAATTGGTATAACTTAACAGCCTCAAGGCCTTTTCTAATTGTTGCTTTTCTAACATTCTGTAACTCATTAGGTATTGGGAAAGAAGAAAAGAAAGAAGAAAAGGAAGAACAGGGGTTTAAAGCTTAGATGTATAGTGGTGTGTCAATGATCCAGTTGACTGAAAAATGAATCCACAGAACCAGTTTGGGATCCAAGGCTATGGTCTTGTACATGTGAAATTTCAGACCTCTTTCCTTCCCATTTCACAGATAAGAACTCAAATTTTTGGGTCTCCCCATTCCCACATACAAACTTACGCATATTGACATCTTCTCAGGATGTCCTTTGTTCTCTGGTATTTTTGGATCCCATTCCTCCTAACCCCTCAAATTCTCACTCTACTGGATTTTCCTCTTTATTATTTAAGCATGTTCATATCTATAACATCTTGATATTTTTTCCAGCCCTGAAATGACTTGATCTTCATGCAGCATTTGAAATGCTTATTGTTTACTCTTGAAATTTTTTATTTTGGCTTCCAGCAAACCAGTCTCTGGCCCCCTCTCTGATCCTCTGTGTCCCTATGGAAGACAGGAACAGTATTCCTCCCATCTCTCTGTCCCCCTTTTTTTTGGTTCTTCCTAAACTTGTCTTCAGGATCTACCCATCCCTTCCCTTCTCTCTCTGTGCATTCTTCTGCATGAGTTCATCCAATATTGTGTAATGAAAAGAGCTTGGACTTTGGATTTAAAAAGACCTTGGTTCAAACCCCAGATTCACCATTTATTAGCTTTGTCAACCTGGGACTAGTTCTGTAACCTTTCTAATTCTACTTTTTCATTTATCAAATACTAGAGGCCCAGTGCATGAATTCATGCATCAGTGGGGTCCCTCGGCCTGGCCTGTGGGATCTGGCCAAAACTGGCTCTCCAACATCCCCTGAGGGTCCCAGATTGCAAGAGAGTGCAGGCTATGCCGCAGGATCAGGTTGGGGAGGAACATCGGAGGTTGGCCAGCCAGGGAGGGACTGAGGGAGGGCTCCAGGGTGTGTGTGGCCCATCTCACTCAGTCCTTATCAGCTGGACCCCAGCAACAATCTAACCTACCAGTTGGAGTGTCTGTCCCCTGGTGGTCAGTGCACATCATAGCGAGCAGTTGAGTGGCCTTAGCATGTCATTAGCATATTATACATTGATTGGTTGAACAGATGACTGGATAACTAGACACTTAGCATATTAGGCTTTTATTATATAGGATATTAGCTATCTTGTAAAGTTGTAAATATAAGTACAAATGCCTAAACATGTGCCCATCATAAAGTATACACTTGGCAAATATTAAGCCCCATTCCCCTTATATGACTTTAGCTACTACCAGTATCTTTAGTGCAGACTGCCTCATGAGCTTCAGATCCTTTTTTCTAACTTTCTGTTGAAACTTACACAGACAACACATGTCAGTGGAGATCAAATTATATTTGACCACCTGCTATGGGCCAGGCACCCTACTAGGGTAAATAAAATGGTAAATAAAAGGTATCTCACTTTCTTCCTCCCCCCCCCAAAAAAAAAGGAGCATAAAGTTTATACACAGAATTGGATAAGAATCTTGAAGGTCTTCACTTAGCCTAAGAGGAGTTAGGGAAAGCTTTCTGGAAATGTCCTGAGCCAACTCTTAAAGAATGGAAAGTATTTGCTAGAATGAGCAAGGGTGAGAAAGGAATTCCACAAAGGTACGGAGCAATGAAATAGCAACTCTGAGTCCCTAGAGAAGGAGACAGGAACAGTGGAAGGTGAGGCGAGAGAGGTAGACTGGGAAAAAGACATCGGAAGTATTACATCCATGCTTAGGAACTCAGCTTTCACCCCATACGTGCTAGGAAGCTGAGAAAATGGAGAAAATGATATGCTTAGCTTTGCAAAGATTATGAACAGGAATTTCTTGGAAGAAACACAAGCAGGGAATAGATATCTGAAAGATGTTGAACCTTATTAAAAATTAGAAAAATACAAATTAAGGTAATAATGAAATAGCTTTTTATGTCCACTAAATTGGCAAAAAATTAATAAGTCCTGGTAAACTAATTTTTGAAAACTATTATACACCAAGTCTTTATTAGGCAAAACAATAACTCCTCAAATTTCATAGTTTTCAAATATCAACACATGTACTGAAATCATTTTGGAATTGTAACTCTTACTCCCTTGTTATACATTGAATGTTTATGTTCTCACAAAATGTATATGTTGAAGCTCTACCCCTTCCACCTGCCAACATGATGTATTTGGAAATGGGCTTCTGGGAGGTAATTAGGGTTAGATGAGAGCATGGGGGTGGGAGGGTGTGGAGGTGGAGAGCCTGTTCTGATGAGACCCCAGAGAGACCCCAGAGCTTTCCCTCTCTCTCTGCCAGGCTGCACAGAAGAGATCACTGGGGCACACAGTGAGAGGGTGGCCCCCACAAACCTGGAGAAGAGCCTCAGAATGAACCCCCGGGCCAGCCTCCAGAACTGTGAGGAATAATCAAGTTCTGTTGGTTAAGCCGACCCATGTGTGGTGTCTTGTTATGGTAGACGGAGCAGATGAAGATGCCGCCAACAAGGGAATTGTTAGGGGTCACAATCAAAAGTCATTTTTAAGCCAAGGAATGATCAAACTGGATTGGAAAAGGAAATACAGCTCTAAGTACTGAGCCTAATTGTGTAATACGCTAAGTGTCTCTGAAACAAAAATCAAAAGAGGGACATCAAAACTCGCTGGCAAGATTGTTGAAATTACTGTTGAGGTTTTTTTTTTTTTTTTTTTTTTTGTGTGTGTGTGTGTGTGTGTGTGTGTGTGTTTACTGTTGAGTTTTTAAGAAAATTTCATTTGGCTATATGTGATATACAGTATTTGTTTTAAAAAGGTCTCTATTTAGCCACACCTACTCAAGTATTAATGACAGTTTATTATATAAATAAAGCAAAGGACAAGTTAAATTATTTGTTTTGGTATACCTACTGTTTTGATACATAGGTAATGTATTTAATACATTTCTTCAACAACTATTGGAAGCTGACTATCAGTCAAGAATATACAAGGTACTGGATACGCATCTAAGAACAAATACTCTCTTTAAAGGAATACATGAGTAGATGATCTTACAGTATTAGGAAACCCAAAGGCTAAATGAAAATACATGTGTCTCAGAAGAAAAACATGTTTTAATGAAATCTTATGCAGTTAGAGTGATTTTTCAAAGAAATGACTGGAAATATTATAAAATATTTGTTTTATGGACACAATGCGTGACTGAAAAAAATAAAGATTTTACTTAGCTATTTATAAAATCCAGCAATTTATCATTTTAACTATTATATCCATCAATGTGATGAATAGTCCAAATTAGTTATCAAATTCTATTCTAAGTTAACTTATTAAAAAATGACAAATTGTGAACTTCTAAAGTCCATGTATTTCTTAAATTCTGTCATTTTTCCCACAATAATCAAAATGTAAAACCTCAGAATTATCAAACTATATAAGAGAAAAACTTGAATTGCAACAAATTATATTTCATGAACTTCTCTATTAAAACTCTTCAAGGAATGAATAGGATCTTCTCATTTACTTAGGATGGCTTAGTACAGTGGTTGGCAAACTGTGGCTCGAGAGCCACATGTGGCTCTTTGGCCCCTTCAGTGTGGCTCTTCCACAAAATACCACTGCCTAGGAGAGTCTATTTTGAAGAAGTGGCGTTAAAAGAAGTTTAAGTTTAAAAAATTTGGCTCTCAAAAGAAATTTCAATCATTGTACTGTGGATAGTTGGCTCTGTTGACTAATGAGTTTACCGACCACTGCCTTCGATTTTCCATTGATGACCAATCTTTGTGTAGATGTCATCATGTTATGGTAGGTGGCACTCATGCACAGACAACTGACTGTCGGTGGGTCCACCCAGAAGGATCTATGACATAAATTTAAAATATTATATTATACAACTAGAGGCCCAGTGCATGAATTTCGTGCATGGGGGCAGTGGGAGAGTGTCCCTCAGCCCAGCCTGTACCCTCTCCAATCTGGGACCCCTTGAGGGATGTTCGACTGCCCATTTACAGGGATTGGGCCATGGGGGTATGGCTAGCTTGGGTGAGGGGCTAAGAGCTGTTTTCAGACTGGTCATACCCCTTTCAGGGTGGGGGTCCCCACTGGGGTGCCTGTCCAGCCTGGGTGAGGAGCTGTTGGCTGTTTGCAGGCAGGCCACATCCCCCGGTGACCCAAGATCCCAGCCCTTGCTTTTTTTTTTTTTTTTTCTTTTCAGTGCCTCCTTGAGCGGAGGCCAGGGCTGGCTGGAAGCAGGTACCTCATCTTCTATAATTGAAACTTTGTAGCCTTGAGCAGAGACCAGGGCTGGCCAGCATGGGTGGGAAGCTTGGCTTCCTCCATCGCCGGGAGCAACCCAAGCCTCCTGCTTGCTCTAGCTCCGTGGCTGCTGCCTTATTAGTTTGGTTAATCTGCATACTCGCTCCTGATCGGCTGGTGGACATGGCTTGTGGGTGTAGCAGAGGTAGTGTCCATTTGTATATTTCTCTTATTAGATAGGATGATAGGCAGCATCATGATGAGGCTGGCTTGGGTAAAATCCCAATGAAGGCCCACTTAGAAGACAGATTTCCAAACCCACACCTGGTCCAAACAGCAAGGGCTCTCATCCTGACCCACTGTAAACGAATCAGTAAGTTCCACTTTTTAAAAATCAGTTCACATATTAGGATGGTGCTTGATGTTCCTTTCTCAAACCACTGACCTACCAGAAGGAAAGTCCTTTACCTGATCTAGTTTTAGTGCCTTGAGTAAAGCCATCCTCATCCTCATCACAGCTGTCGCAGTTTAATTGTGGGAGGGCTGCTTCTGCCTGGCTCTCAGCTTGACTGACATCTTTTTGTTTATCGAAGCTTCGAAGAGCAACAAGACGGTGATGTATGGCTGCAAACAGAGACCCTGTGTCTTTGGCACTGGCCTGCAGGGAGGAAATTCCGGGGTTAAGAACAGAAATAGTAACAGCCCCATTTTAAGGATTTTTAATCTTTCACTGTTAACAAGGAAGGAGCTACATGGCATAAATCTAGAATGTAAAACAACCCTAAACACTAATGGGCAAAAAGTCCATTTATCTCGAACCAAACTGAATCCTAAGGCAGATAGTTTTGTAAGAGGTCCAGTTTGTGCACTTTAAATGGAGTAGATGAAATTTTGTGGTTGGAAAATACTAGTTGAAGTTAACTTTGTGAAGACCATCCTTCCTCCAATATTTTACCCTGTAGGAAATTGTAGAATTGGGGGGCGGGGGCAGGATGGGAGACTTCATTTCCTTTACATCACTGTGCGTGGACACCCCCTGCAAGCCACAGAGCTCTGTGGAGGAGCAGAGCTCACTGGAGCAGTCTATGGTATTGTTCCCCAAACCCATCAGAAGTACTTGTTTTCAGTACTTTTCTGTGCTCTTTTTATGGTTGCAATAAATGTCAAAAGGAGAGTAACAATACCATTTGTATAACAGTTATTGTTATTCTGTTTTTACCCATTTTTAACAATAAAACTGGTTATTTAGCACAGGTGTTCAACATACTCCCCTCTCCCTTTGACAGGTGAGGAGAGGACAGCTCAGAAAGGTGCAATGACTTGTCAACACAGCTAGTTGACAAACTGTCTGGCACTTGAATCCCAGGTTTTTGTTATCTAACTCAGTGTTCTTTAAGGTAACATGACAGTAGTTTATATGTTTGTATCTTTTCACAATTTCAAAGAAAATCTGGGACATTTTTTCTCTTTACCATCCTTTCAGAGAGTTACCAAACATTTTAAAACTCAGAAATGAGGGTTGAACCAACTATATGCCAACTCTTGGGAGAAGGGTTTTAAAGCATTTTTTTTCAGATGCATGTATTTAAGTTGCCTTAAATACTTTTGGGTGGAAAAATTTAAATATAAATGCAATAAAATATTGTTGGTTCTCATATTGTATTTGATAGAGTAGTTGTTAAATAAATATTTGTTGACTTGACTACTTTAATTGCTTAGATCATGTGCAAAGGTATAATTTTCTTTAGTAAGCTAATTAATAACAAATATTGAGAGTATTTGTAATTGAAATATAAATGCTATTCTGCTTCCTTGACATTCTTACATTAAATTCGTAATGACTTTCACTAGCCAATATGTCTATTTCCTTTGGACAAATTCATTCAGATGTTTTCATTTAAGAAATTCAGAAGTTAAAAATAAAACAACATGATATATTTTTGAATAACAAATTTGCAATGTTTAAAAAAATTATAACTCTGAGGAAGTACCATAAAAAATGCTGGTGAGAATGAAAACTGTTCAGTCTTTCTGGAGAGAAATTTGTCAAGACAAGTCAAAACTTGTTCTCAAGAAAATTAACATGTATGTACACAGTTTCCTGCAGCCTCCCTAAAAAAATCTATGTAGCCAAAACTGGTTTGGCTCAGTGGATAGAGTGTCAGCCTTTGGACTGAAAGGTTCGATTCCAGTCAAGGGCATGGTTGCGGGCACATCCCCGGTGGGAGGTATGCAGGAGGCAACTGGTCGATGTTTCTCTCTCATCAATAATGACTTTCTAGCTCTATCCCTCTCCCTTCCTCTCTGTAAAAAATCAATAAAATATATATGTATATTTTTAAAAAAGAATCTATGTATATAAAAGCTTAAGCAACCGTTAAGACTTGTAGCTATGACATACACTGACCACCAAGGAACAGATGCTCAAATGTAAGAGCTGGCCCCCTGGTAATGAGTGTGCTACCACAGCCAACCTCCTGTGGCCGACCAACCTCCCATAGTTCCTCCCCTGGCCTGTGTGAGATGGCCCCAATTAGCCCAATTGTCGAGCAGGCTGAGGGACCCCCACCTGTGCATGAAATGCACCAGGCCTCTAGTTTATAATAATGAAACAATAAATTACCTAAGTATTTAACAAAGTGGAATTAATGGAATAAATTAGGATGCATAATACAATAGAATTCTTTTCACCTGTTAAAATAATTTTTGAAGAATGAACTATTTAATGTCACAAAACCACTCATTTTCATTATAAGTGAAAAGGTTATATGTATATATTTTACAAATATTAGCTATCTAATCTTCTCACCCATTTTATGAAGTATATTATTACTATCTTCATTTATTAGGTGAGTAAAATCAGGTTAAGGGAGGCTATATAACTTGCCTGAAGGTCATACAGTATGTACAGTATGGCACATATCCTATATGATAAAGAGCTAATATGCTAATTAGACCTAACAGCAGAATGACCGTCTGGACGAAGCCAGGGCTGTGAGGGGCTGCGAGGGCCTAGCCTCTTGTGCTTCCGGCCTCTACTGTATTATATATGTGTGTACATATGTTTATATATTAAAATACAGGATTAAACCAAACAAAGCATTAATAGTGGCCATTTCTGGGAGTGGAATTTGGAGGGATTTTTATTTGCATTTTGTTTGTTTATCTCTAAAAAATATATCTTACAATTTGAAAAGACAGCATGAGCTCAGTGCTGAGCAGCAGAATCCAATCCTAGTTGTCAGTCTCAGGCCGGCTGCTTGGACCATTCAAAGCCAGTGACCTGGCCTGGCAGAGTGGCATCTCCCTCCATGTGAACAGGGCTGGGCATCATCTTACTCTCCATCTTAGTACTCCACATCACTTACACCTAACATTGTACTAACTGTTCATTAATAAAACCTTTGGTTTGTCACCAATGGTCACTTGCCAATGTGTCTTCCATTGGTCTGTGGAAGTCAAGCCACTTGTACTGCCACTTCTGCCTGAGTCACTGGGTCCTCATCCTTCTCCTGGGTCCCAGCCCAGAGGGAGACCCAGCCTTTTTTCTGGCCTGATTCCTGCCAGCTCTCTCTCTTGTGCCTGGAAATCTTCTAGTTAAGGTCAAGCATTCCTTTTGCAGGAAAAGAGCTGAAGCTGTGCTCCATCCTGTTACCTTGGAAACTGACTCATGTCCAGAGCTGGAATTTGCCGTTGGAATGGCTAACTTGCTAGCCCTGTGTTTTTCCATTTCTCCCTTATTCCTTTCCTGTGATCTCAAAGCCTTCTCCATTTCAGCATTCACTATGAGCATTAGGCTGTGGATTTTGCTAGCTTCTTGACAATAGTCTCTTTGTAACTTAGTAAGATTGTTGAGGTAATTTCAATGGTAAAGAAAAATATAGAGGTTCAATAGCTTATATCAATAAAAATATCTTGGGACAGCTACCAGTTGATTACTCTAGATTTAGGTGTTAATTTCTAAATTCCATGTAAAATGTAGGTCTTAAATTAGACTGTAAACAACCAAAGTGAACAGCTGTTTTTTTTTTTTTGGTTTTTTTTTTTGCCAATGGTACAGGTTACACAAAATGGGAAAAAGCCCCAACTGGTTTGGCTTAGTGGATAGAGCATCAGCCTGTGAACTAAAGGGTCCCAGATTCATTTCTGGTCAAGAATGCATGTACCTTGGTTACGGGCACATCCCTGGTAGGGAGTGTGCAGGAGGCAACTGATGGATGTTTCTCTCTCATTGATGTTTCTAACTCTCTATGCTTCTATCCCTCTCCCTTCCTCTCTGTTAAAAAATCAATAAAATATGTTTAAAAATAAGTAAGTAAATAAAATAAATAAATAAAATAAAATATAATGGAAAAACACATACAACACAAATGAGTAATTGCAGAGATCTATAAAAACAGTAGGGTACGTAATCCTCTAACACTAAACTTTATTACTTACCTGAATTAAAAACACTTTGATGCTATAGTCTTCTAAATCAGTAGCTGTTATTCGTAAATTTCGGTGGTTTGCTCTTTGAATCTCCATTTGAGTCCAGAGTTTGCTATTGAGAATCAGCCTCAGGCTCCCTTGATTGCGCATAACTAAAACAGGAAGGTGAATACATCAGACCACAGAAGAGTTGATTTCTTACCCTTCCAGGGGAATTCCCCAAGTTGAAAGCAAAGTAAATCTTATACTAATTTTTCAGATTGTATTTTCATATTAAGTTTATAACCTGGTTTTCAAATTGAACTTTATTATGTTAAAGAATTTTTTTTTTGTTAAAATGCTGGAATTAAATAATTTTACTATAATATTAAAAATGATTAAGATTTTAGAACTCCTTTGAGGACCTAGTGTTCTGAAGAATTTACCCAAAAATTGTTTAAAATAGAGAAAACTGAAATGAAATTAAAAAATAGGATGAGTTAAATAAATGATGGCACAACTATTCAAGGTATTATGAACTTAAGAGCCCAGATGGCGTGGCTCGGTGATTGAGCCTGGACCTGTGAACCAGGAGGTCACAGTTTGATTCACCTGCCCAGGTTGCAAACTCCATTCTCAGTGGAGCATGCAAGAGGTAGCCAATCAAAGATTCTCTCTCAATCATTCTCTCTCATCATCATTCTCTCTCATCAATGTTTCTATCTATTTTCCTCTCCTTCCTCTCTGAAATATATATATGTTTTTTTAAAAAGACTGAAGAAAAGAGAACTATTGACTTAGGAAAGTGATCATGGTATATGGTATGTAAACAAGAAGAAATCCAGTTGCAAAGCCATATAAACACCATGAAACACACCTTTTTCAATATATGTAAACATTTATGTAGATAGAGAACAAAGTCTAGAAGAATATGCATTGTAAACAGAAACTATCACAGAAAGACAGACCTATTAGTGATATTCTTTCTTTCTGTTGACCCATATTTTCTGTCTTCTATAATGAACTTGTGTGTCCTGTATTCTTTTTTTTTTTTTTTAAAAGGTTGTTTTGTGGCTCTTTTGGCAGGCGGTGGAAGGAGTGAAATGACACCAAAGTAGAAAAACAACCAGCACCTGCTTTGGGAATAATACTTAGAAATCTGTTTGCCAATTACAGAACTGAAGACACTGTTTCTATTCTCTTAGTCTGAATTCTATTCCTTACCCATTTGTTGAGCTTGATATCTGAAACTCAACAAACACGCATACACTTAGATCCAACTTCAATCTGTGGGCTCCTCCACAGCTCTTACTGGCTGGTATCAACCAGTCACCCAAACCTGTGTCCCCTACACACATCTCCGTGTGGGCTCACTTTAAGTCTGGCCCTCTGAATGAGGACCAGTGTGCCTCTCAGATGCCAAAACCCTCCTGAGTCTGTCAGTGTGACTGACTCCAGATTCCAACCACCACTCTGTCTCCAGGATTCAATAACCACACACCTTTATTTCCTCGGATACTGACCCTTCATCCCAACCCACACACCATGCTATGAATGGCATTGTAAATTTTAGGGCAAATATTCTTTTTTAAGAAAACTATTTTCACTTTTTAAATAATTTGTATCATATTCCTTTAAATAATAATGGATTGCTATTTAGGTATGTGGTGGGCTCCTTCATGGGTACTTTACATGCATTATCTCACTGAATTCTCACAATCAAGTTATGGACTATTACATTTTCATTTATTGATTTTGAGAGGAAAAGAGAGAGAAAAAGGGAGAGAGAGGGAGAGAGAGGGAGATGGAGGGAGAGAGAGAGAGAACAAGAAAACAAGAAACATCAATTGGTTGTTCCACTTATTCATTCATTGGTTGCTTCTTCTATATGCCTTGACCAAGGATCAAACCTGCAACCTTGATGTATGGGGACACCAGTCTTACCAACTGAGCTACCTGGCCGGGGCAATTATCCCCCTTTTAAAAAGACACCACTGGGCAGAGTGGTTAACTAACTTGTCTAAGGTCACCAGTTAGTCAGTGGGGGAGCCAGAACTGGAATTGGTGTCCTCTGACAGAAGAGCCTACTCTAACCAGGAAGCTCCTATGGCACATTGGAAGCAACCTTGTTTTCAACAGCCTGATTTCTTGACGCACTTTATGACACATCTCCAGACAATGATCTGCACCTGGACTGGAGATTTTACCCTGAGACATAGCATCTGCCTTCCCAGAGGATCTCTTACTTAGTCTTGACTGGAAGGCCCCATGGTCGCTGCCAGCTGTATCATTGAGTCTCAGAGCTCCCCGGCCCCTCTCAGTCCAGGAGGGAGTGGTTTTGTTGAACACAAAAAGCTTGCAGTTGATCTGAAGGGCAATATTTTAAAATGTCAAACATATAGAAAGTTTCTCCAAATCCTTCCCTATACTTGTATTTGTTTGATCTTTTACCAGAATAACCTTTGTTAATGATCTACACATCAGTTTTAAAATAGTATTTAAACTTAAATATTTAACTTTACAAACATACAAGTTTTGAATAGTTCAAACATCAAAAATCAAGCAGCTGGGAGAAAAGGGAGGACTTATATAATACTTTCAACAATAAAGATTTTTTTTATTATTTTTTAAGATATGTTTTATTGATTTTTTACAGAGAAAAAGAGAGAGGGATAGAGAGTTAAAAACATCGATGAGAGAGAATCATCAATCAGCTGCCTCCTGCAATCCCCCACTGGGGATGTGCCCACAACCAAGGTACATGTCCTTGACCGGAATCGAACCCAGGACCTTTTAGTCCGCAGGCGGTGCTCTATCCACTGAGCCAAACCGGTTTCGGCAACAATAAAGATTTTTTTAAAAAGCAAGATGTACGAAGTGAGAAGTCCCTCCGCAAACCTAGTTTACTTTGTACTTTCTACCTCCTGTATCAGTAATCACTATTGCTAATATTTTGTTAATTCTTTCATATATAAGTATGAAAAAAGTATATATATATATATATATATATATATATATGCAATACATTATATGTTCCCCTTTTTTTATTCTGTTAATGGTAGAATAGCATTCTCCTTTCTGTATCTTGCTTTTTCACTTAACAATACATGATGTGGTAAAAGTAGGTTTATAGAGTTGTGAGTACATACATGAAATAGAGTTTATTCTTATATTATTACTTATTAATTATTGTATTATTTTCCATATGAACTGTAAACCTACTTTTGCCCCACCCTGTATATCTATATAAACACCAACTTTCATAGTAAACTTAATGCTATTTGAGCTATGTAATTTATTTGAAGGTAAAGCACTTATGGAAATATTTGTACGCTTTAGATGTTTTAAAGAATAGAGCATGAGAATTAAGGTGTGATACCAGAGTGCCCTCCTGTGATTAAAGTACCAGTGGCTCTCAAAGTCACTGTGCTTGTGAGTCACCTGGGCAACTTGTTGACAATACAGCAGGCCAGGTCTCACTTGGCACCATTACTTCACATCTAGGGTTAAGCTGATCTGAGGTTACGCTTTGGGACACACTTGTATAGTAAATGCATTAACAGACTGTGGGGGAGAAGAGGAAAGGAGGAGAGCAGATGTAGACAGACCAAGTTGTTGAAAACGATCAAATCATAGTAATTACACTTCATTTGCCGGGGCTGATACATGGACCGTCCGCTCCACAATCAAACCTGATGGTAATACTATAGAAGCATCTGTGAAAGTTCTGATGTATAGGAAATTCAGAACTTACAAACTTTCAAAAGGAAAACAAAATTCTTTTACTCTCTTGAACTAAAATAAATGCATCTTATCAGCACTTTAAAGCCTTCTGTGTACGTTAAAATTTTAAGTCCTATGATAATGGCACCGATTGGACAAGCAGGTGGACCAGGGTACAACTTAGGTCCAAGTCATAGTAAGGAAGGGTCCTGAACTGTCTGCTTCCTAATGTGAATAGTTGTAAACCAAATAACCCGTTTTTCTGCGACTTATATGCACAAACGTAAGAATCCAACAAAATAGTGGTTTAATTTTTGGAAGTGTCCTACATTTTTATTTAAGCAGCTCGGTGTTTTTGAAAAGTATACTCCTGCCTTCTTAAAAAACATGTCCCTGTTGATGATAACTTTATACCTGTAAGGGCTACTTTATATCTGTAAAGAGCAATATATGATATACAGACCTTTAACACGTTATATTCTGCTTCCTCCCCTGTTATTACATCAATTTTCTTCAGCAAGCATTTCGGGGATGATTTGGAAGAGAGTGCAGCAGCTGATTCAATCAGGGATATATTTTTAATAGCATCTGTTCCTAAGAGAAAATAGCGGGGGAACACATAAAAGGCCCCATATTTTCTAGTATGAACATTCTTTGTTGTCCCTATTAAATGCATCTCTTCCACTTTTTTATAACAACGAGTGTTTCCCAAAAACTCATGTTCTTCAGGCTAAGTAAATCTCTTTAACGATTTGCCATGTCATTAAGTTAAAAACTTTAAAAAGCTTCTATATTATGTAACTATATGTATATGCTTTATTCTTTACCAACAAATTTGAAAATACTGAGCTATTGCTTTTGTACTTTATAGATGTTAAACAAATGACATTGGAAAACATGAAATAAACTAGTCAAACCAAATGTTTTATAAGTGAAAGAATTCTTACTTGAGTTCGGAGAGTTGGTAGGAAATCTTAGGGTGTATTTGAATGGCTTTTCCTTGGCTTGGGAATCATTTTCAAGTTGAGGCTGGGTGAGTTTCTGCATACCCTAGGCAGCGGGGGAAAGATGCATGACTTCATTTTACCCTCTTATATTTGCAGGAAGCCAAAGATATCTTTGTTCTCTGTTTTAAACAAAACCAACTGCTGTGTTTTCGTTTGGGCTCCCTCTGGGCTGAACAGGAAGTTCCTCCCCTATCCTTGCAGGACCTTGGTCCTGATCCCCAGGAAGCGTAGCCCAGGGACCACCAGCCCACTTGGGTGGGATCTGGTTCCAGGGACAATGTGAGAAGATTTAGAGGCCCCACAGGAGGTAACAGCTGTTCCATGCTACCCCAGACTAACCAGATGCCTACAAGGAGATGCAACTATTATATATTTCAAGGCATTTCAGTATGCCCAGCAATTCGCTGTCTCTATCCACAGCATTTAAACATAATAATAATAATAATTAATAATAGCAGCCCTGTCTGGGTGGCTCAGTTGTTCGATTCCTAGTCAAAGCACATACTTAGGTTGCAGGTTCAGTCTCCTGTAGGGGCACGTATGGAGGCAAACAATCAATGTTTCTCTCCCACATTGATATGCCTCCCCTCCCTGCTCTCCACATTCCTTCCTAAAATCAATGAACATATCCTGTGGTGAGGATTAAAATAATAATAATAATAGTAATAATAATGATAAAATTATCCAGAGGACGTATTGAGCTGCCTCAGAGATCATCTTCATAGAAACAATTTGCCTCCCGTCAGCTTTTGCCTACAATGGGTCTTTGCACCAGTGCTGTAATCAAGGCCTGTGTGAAAAGGCCTGAGTAGTTCCCTACATTGATGATCCTGTAGAGTTCCCTGCAGAACAGGGAAAACTGGAATGATACTCAGGTTTATATCATTTCCCTTCGAAACTCAAGATTCGTTCACATTATTTAACTGAACATCAAGATATTCTGTTAAAAGTGGTAGAGACAGCCAGAACCGGTTTGGCTCAATGGATAGAGCGTCGGCTTGGGGACTGAAAGGTCCTGGGTTCGATTCCGGTTGGGGGCATGTACCTTGGTTGCAGGCATATCCCCAGTAGGGGGTGTGCAAGAGACAGCTGATTAATGACTCTCTCTCTCATCGATGTTTCTAGCTCTCTGTCTCTCTCCCTTCCTCTCTGTACAAAATCAATAAAATATAATTTTTAAAAAAAGTGGTAGAGACAGGTATAATTATTTCATTTTAAGAAAACTTAAGCCGAAGCCGGTTTGGCTCAGTGGTAGAGCGTCGGTCTGCGGACTGAAAGATCCCGGGTTCGATTCTGGTCAAGGGCATGTACCTTGGTTGCGGGCACATCCCCAGTGGGGGGTGTGCAGGAGGCAGCTGGTCAATGTTTCTCATCGATGTTTCTAGCTCTCTATCTATCTCCCTTTCTCTCTGTTAAAAATCAATAATATATATATATATATATATATATATATATATATATATAAAACTTAAGGCACAGAAAGTTTAATGACTAACTCTAAGAGCACATTGTCAGCTAACCAGTCAGAAGGATATATTACCCCCAAATCACTAGGCTGTGGGATTACAGGATTAGCCAGAAGACAAATACAGGTTTTCTCTGTTGCTCCTATCTGTAGGATGTTATCAGTAATATAGGAAGCACAGATTTTTTTGTAAACCAAAGGTAAAGTGTCTTCTCAAAGTAAATCTGCAATCCTGACTAGGTCCTTGGTATAGGTCAGTGGTCGGCAAACTGGGGCTTGAGAGCCACAGGTGGCTCTTTGGCCCCTTGAGTGTGGCTCTTCCACAAAATACCACGACCTGGGCGAGTCTATTTTGAAGAAGTGGTGTTAGAAGAAGTTTACGTTTAAAAAATGTGGCTCTCAAAAGAAATTTCAATCGTTGTACTGTGGATATTTGGCTCTGTTGACTAATGAATTTGCCGACCACTGGTATAGGTATTTGTCTGTATATGCAGGCAAACTGGAGACTAACGCAAATGCTTTATATATCATAAGAACACAATACCTTTGTTACATTGAGTCGAATGCTAATAAAATACTTTATTTTTGTCGGTGATATCTTACAGAAGCTAATCTGATGTCAAATGTAGGACTAAACGTTATGGAGTAAATATCCCAAAATATATTGCCTGGAACTTCACTGTGGAAGTTGGTCCATTCTGGTTCAGATGCAAAGGTGGGGGTCACCAGCGCAGGCGTTGACCTTCATTTTGGGAGGGAGCAAAGAATGCCTCTAAACTAGAAAGCTATGCTAACTGCGCTTGGGGTTGGGATTTAGCCTGAGGTATGGAATAAAGGAGATCATAAAAGTGACTGATTTGTGGAAGCCCTAAAAATCTCGAGATAAACTGGCCTCATGAGTTGGTCCTTCTATTAATCTGGGCCCTTTCATGGGTTTTTAAATCTCTCCAGCCTTCTTGGGTCTTCCCTGTACCTAGCAGCCCATAAGGCAAGCCAGCCACCGAGGCCCATCTTAGCCAAGATTTTTGTCTGGGTGAAAGCTGGAAAGAGTACGCAGGTGTGATGGACTAGGTTCAAGCACAGGCACACCTGGTCCATAGCCTTCACTTTGCTATAACATCCCCCTCCCCCAGGTGATGCTGTCTCAGAGACATCCCCTAAGGAGGGCAGAGCAGCAACTGCCTCATGCAGGACACTCCACAGTGAGTAAAGAGGGCAGTAATGACAGGTCAGGGTCGCCACTTGGCGAGTATATTTCCCCAGGCAAGTGATTTTCCTCTTAAAGCTAGACCCAAATAAGTTACAGTAACACTTTCCAAAGTAAGACCTTGAAGGGAAAGGTTAAGGCTAATGAGAAAAAATTGGCAAACAATTTTAAATACATCTTATTACCAAAAATAATGCTATTGAAAAATGGTATTAAGATGTCTACCAGTTGAGCTATCTACTAGGTGTACCGGTTAATAATGCAGATACTGTAATCAAAGAAAACATGATAATTTCAAGAGAAACATCAAAAGTCCTTTATTCAAAGTAATGTCCATTGTAAGCTAAACATTTCCCCAATCTCTAGGTAATTTGTGGATACCGTCCCAATGGAACTTTTTTTGTTTTGAGGCAGAACATTCAGAGACCCCATTTTCCCCTTCTTTGTATGTGTTGAAATGCTGCTCAGAAAGTGGTCATCTGAAGGAGCAAGGTCTGGTGAATACAGTGGGTGGGTTAATACTTCCCAGGCAAGATTTTTTTAACATGTCTTTAACTGGTTTTGATGGTGCATTATCATGAAGCAAAATTACTTGTCTTCCGGCACATTCTGTCATTTCATGATCAAAGCGTGGTTCAAATTAATTATTTGTTGTCGGTAGCGATCAGTGTCAGTATGGTTTCACCTGGTTTTAGAAGCTCCAGATTCCACCTTCCTGATCCCAGCAAACGCAGAGCATTGTCTTCTTTCCAAAGCGATTTGGCCTTGCAGTCGATGTTGATGGTTCACCTGAATCAATCCATGATTTTGTGCATTTGGGATTCTCAAAATAAATCCACTTTTCATCGCCAGTCACATTTCGATGCAAAGAAGACTTTCTTTTGTGCCGTTGAAGCAACATTTTACTGATGACTTTTCGGTTTTCCCTTTGTCTTTCGTTCAGTTGCTGTGGCACCCATTTTCCTTCCTTTAAAATCTTTCCCATTGCTTGTAAATAATCGAAAATTGTTTGCTGAGCAACATTTAATCTTTTTGCAAGTTGCTTTTGAGTTTGACATGCATCTCCATCCAATAATGCTTGTAATTGTTCGTCTTCAAACTTTTTCATTCACATCGAAATCAATTTTAAAGCATTTAAACCAGTGTTCACAAGTATCTTGAGATGGCGCATGTTCACCATAAGCTTCCCTGAGTATATGATAACTTTCAGCAGCACTTTTCTTCAAAATAAAGTAATGAATTAAAATGTCCTACAGATGCTCTTTTATTGGCACAAAATTTGACATTTTTAAGTGTAAAAATATCTATGATGTTAACACCTTCAGCAAATTTGACATATGAAGTTTTGAAGCTGGCTGTCAGTACCACAAAATAGCATACACATCAGATCATATATATATCAACATATGTGTAACTCCATCTATGAAAAAATCTGCATTACTAATAATGGTACACCTAATAACTATTACAGTAATTCTGGGATCTCCTTGGGTACATTTAAGTTAACACGAGTCAAGAACTATTTAATATTATTCATCAGTAATAATGTTATAATTATACAATTCTCTTCCTCTGTGGGTTCCTGTCTATTATTCTAATATCGAAAACTAGCTTCCCAGGAGACTCTTCTCAGTTAAAGAAAGAAAACGAGCCTTTGAACCCAGGAGTTGAAGAGTATGCTCCAATGTAACATTGTTTTAATTAATTTGTCTTCAGAAATGTGAAGGGACAGCTCTCTACATGATAAGAGAAACATTTGCCAAAATCTTACCAAAACTCTTTCTACCATGTTTTCTCCAAACACGAAGTCAGAACTGCAGCTTTTAAAAGAATACTTATCTTCATTTGGTTGACACCTAAAAAAAAAAAAAAGAAGTAAGTATTTGCTATTTCATTTATGTGTGTGTGGGGGGGGGTTTAATAGCTTCTTTTTGCTATAACTATTGCTTTTTCCTCCTTTCAAGAACATTTGACTTATTTTTTTAATTTTTTAATTTAAATTTTTTTCAATTATAGTTTACATTTAATATTATTTTGTATTAGTGTCAGATGTAGAGCATAGTAATAGACAATAATATACAAAGTATTCCTCCTCCTGATATTTCCAGTACCCACCTGAAACCATACATAGTTATTACAGTATTATTGGCTATATTCCCTATGCTGTGCTTTATATCCCCTTGACTAATTTTTAATTACCAATCTGTACTTCTCACCCTTCCTTTTTTTACCCATCCCCCAACTCCCCTCCCCTCTGGAAGCCATCAGTCTGTTCTCTGTAACTATGAATCTGTTTCTGTTTGTTTATTCATTTATATTGTTATTTAGATTCCACACATAAGTGAAATCATATGGTACTTGTCTTTTTTCTGACTGGCTTATTTCATTTTGCATAATACTCTTTAGGTTCAACCATGCTTCACAAATGGTAAGATTTCGTTCTTTTTTATGGTCTAGTAATATTCCATTTATATATAAATATTCCATCATATATATATATATATATATATATATATATATATATATCTCATACAATCCAATATTAATGATATTGCAATATTAGAGACATTTTGAAAAGCATTTTAAACTGTGTTCTTTATAAAATCTTCTTTCAAACAGAAATATTGACAATTTATCTCTATGATGTCAGAAAATTATTTTCCATAAATGGTAATAACGATAAAAGAAAGCAGCAATGAAGGAACAGTACTCACCCTACTGATGCGGCCCCCAAAAGAATCTGGTTGGTAGACAGCTGGATTGAAATTCCAGCACTTGGCAAATTTTCACTTAGCAAACAGGAGTTCTCAGAAATCTGAACAAAAAGAAATCCAAAAAGTTCATTTAAATTGCTTCCTATGCCGAAGCCGGTTTGACTCAGTGGTAGAGCGTCGGTCTGCGGATTGAAAGGTCCCAGGTTCGATTCCAGTCAAGGGCATGTACCTTGGTTGCGGGCATATCCCCGGTAGGGGGTGTGCAAGAGGCAGCTGGTCGATATTTCTCTCTCGTCGACATTTCTAGCTCTCTATCTCTCTCCCTTCCTCTCTGTAAAAAAATCAATAAAATATATTTTAAAAAAATAAAATAAAAAATAAATTGCTTCCTATGGCGGCATCAGACAAGGAAATAATACTTACAGTTAAATATATTAAAAATGTACTATATTCAAATACTTCCCTGAGCATTGTATGTACTCTATCTCATCCTCTGTTCACAACAACGCTATACACTTTGCACACCTATTACTTATTGTCCACATTTCCCAGATGTGTGAACTAACCTAACGAGTTCAAATAACCCGGCCAGGAATGGGCTAATGTTTGAGCCTAGATCTGTCTGACATCAGAGACTATGCCCTTGGTCCTAAGAGTTCAGAAATCCCACTCCTTTTGTCCCTTTTTTAACCACGTGGCGTTAATTCTCATCTCTCGGTTAGTAAATCTAGCTTTCGGGTTTATTTAATCCCTGGAAGCAACTAAGAGCTTCACCATCCAATCAGTGTGGGAGGAAACTCCACCTCTTCACCTGGGAACATTGGACGGATAACTTAATCAGTTGGTAATGTGCACATGTACATATGTGTTGATACATAAATGAAGGAGTGGGCAATTTTAGAACTGGAAGGAACCCTAGAAAGATCAGATCTAGTGTCTCCAATGTTTTGTGGACACCTTCCTTCCCCTACCAGAGATGTGGTAGGGAGATCATGTCTTTAAAGGCAGGTGGGCCTGGCCAGCATGGCTCAATAGGTGAGCTTTGACTTATGAACCACGGTTCGAGACCCAGTTGGGGCACATGCTCGGGTTACAGGCTCAGTCCCCAGAGGAGCGTGCAGGAGGCAGCTGATCAATGATTATCTCTCATCACTGATGTTTCTATCTCTCCCTTCCTCTTGGAAATCAATCTATAATAATAAAAGTGTAATATGCTAATTAGACCAGATGTCCTCCCAAATGATCTTCTGGACGAAGCCGGGGCTGTGAGGGAAGCCCAGGTTCTGGGTGCCAGAGGGAAGCTGGTGCTGACAGCCGAGGGAAGGAAGGCCTACTCTTGCACGAATTTCATGCATCAGGCCTTTAGTAAAAATATATTAAAAATAAATCCCAGTGTGGGGCATGCTTCAGGGAGGTGACAAAACTTGTTCTTGGGAACAGCTCTCCAACTTAAGAGGGCATGTGGAATATGGTGACTGAGGGCTCTGCTATCTAGCCCAGCTCTCCTCCAGCTGTGCAGCTGATTCTGCAACAACAGAAAGCTCAGACCCCTAACGGCTCCTAATGCTCATGATTGGTGCGGGGCCCACAGCAACCTACTAACGGAGGATGAAGGGCTGAGGTCAGTCCTAGCATGGCAGAGTTTTCTTACTTTGTTTTTTGTTTTTTCTTTAGTCTTGCAGTGCTCCCATGCATTGTGTCTTACTTTTTCGCGCCTTTGAGCTTGAGGTGGCTGCAAAATAGCAGGTCTTAAAACATGTTCAGAATGTTTCAAAGGACCTTGATGGAACAGAATTAAAGAGTCAATATATCTTAAATGAAATACTTCTTTCTCCATATTTTTTTTTTTTTACTAATTTAATGATTATGATTAACTATTCAAAGTCAAAATAGCAAGTGAATTGCTTACTATGTAATTCCAGCCAAGATTTTACCCAATAAGTATTTATTTTGGCCATGGGACTGGGCTCATTAAATACCTTCTTTCATGTTTTGTCACTCAGCCTTACCTCCATCCCCCCAACACACACACACACACACACACACACACACACACACACACACGAAAATATAGATGGCAAAATGTAATTTCTGAGGTTTTCATAATAGACAAACTACATACTTTGTTCTGCACTGTTCATGCCAACATTCCTTTGCACAAGAATTGGTGTCATAAAAACATTGTTTTTCTTCACTGTAAGAAAAAAAATATTTGGAAAAATTTAAGTCTAGGAGATGGGTCCGTTTATGATTTGGGTTCTAACAGTCTCGCATGGAACTCACCAGTAGATGTCAGTGTTCACACTAATAGAGTAGGAGGCAGTGCACAGGAGAGCGTTGACTGCTCAAAATGCTTGATGGCAGGATGAGTTTCCTCTCATCAATGTAAGTGAAAATTAGGTCACTAACAGAATAGGCCATCTTTAGAATCATAAAAGGGAATACTGAGGCAAATTCTACAGATTATAAAATCTAACTTGATAATGAACCCTTATAGAATGTTAAAAATGGTTAGCAAATTCTGTCCCTCTCCCTACTCTAATGATACCCAAAGACAGAAGTGAAACCATGGTGATGCATCATCTTCCTAGGAAGTGCACCCGTGGGCTAGGACTGTGGTGGTGGCTACAAGCACAGAATTACAATGCATTTCAAAGTGATCACCTCCTGGTTGCAGAAAGAGAAGCCTTGGAGCATTTGAGTAATGGAGATGAGAAAAGAATCAGAGTTTCTTTTTCAAAGTATGATAGCCTGCTACAAATTTTGGGATAGAACTGCCTCTATAATTCAAAATTCAATGAAATGGTATTTATTATCTTCATTCTTGAAAAGCAAAAATGAATTGACCATATAAAATTATACAATTTTTCTCTGTTGTAATTCCACCAATATTCTGTGCTACATTCAAAGGAATGGCGCTTACTGATATGAAGGTTTCTTTATTCATTCTTTCCTTTTTGTGTATCTGACCTTTTTGGCCTGATTAAAAAAAATGAAAATTAAAGCTGTTATCTCGATAACTCAAAGCCATCCCTTTGCTTTATGCGCAAACACAGTAAACGAATCCGCTGGGAGTAGAATGTCATTCCTCTTAATGTCTGTAACCTGTCAGGGAGGCTTCGACGGGCCTACTGAGCTAGAAGCATCTCCTCTGCATCTGAAAGGCATCTGACATACTGTTGCTCAGTCATGCTTGGAATTCTTAATAAGAATATAAATTCACTAATTTGAATATGCGGTGGTTCCCAGGTACATGAAGGTCAGTAAAAAGAAAGTGAATGTTTTGTGGGGGTTTTTTATTTTTATTTCGAGTGGCAAGCTTAACTTGGAAAAGGCAGTTGGTTGTTCATAAACAAAAACACCCAAGAATATAAATCATAATTTTAATGTATCAAATGTCCCAACCTTTTCAAAACTTTAATTAAAATAAAAGTTTTTATTAAAATAAAAGCATTATAAATTTCAAATAAAAAGGAAGTAATGTTTTAATTAATGAAAAGTACAAAAGGATTAATATTCTAAACTTATTTCAAATTTAAAAAGTAATGTTTTAATTAATGAAAAGTACAAAAGGATTAATATTCTAAACTTTAAAATATAAATCTAAAGCATAAACTTTAGAATAAGAATCTAAAATACAGTTGTATATTTTGTATATACAACTATATGTATTATAAACCATGTACATGGACAATAATAAGTAAAATAAAGCAAGTTCTTTTATAGGGCTGCCTTAGTATATTGCTATCATAAACATGAAATCCTAAAAAAATCATCAAGTTCAAACTTTCTTCCAAAAATAAACAGACGTATTGTCTGGATCTGTAAAGTTCTTAAGGTATTCTTCTGTTCATACTTTGTTAAGACCTATGTTTGCCACTAAAATGTCAGGATTTTATAGCAGCTGAGAAAAAAAGGTCATCATAATGAAAATGGATTTGGGAAGGTCAGAGTGACAGGCTCTAGGATCTAGAAGCTCTGTGAGTGCTCACCATGTTTAACACACTGCAGACCGTAGTTTTATTGCTAGCTTCCCCAGTGGCCAGATACGTTTCTATTGAACGAGCACAAAAAATGTTTTACATCAATGTTAAAGATACACTTTAAAATTAAACACCCTTGCATTTTGAAGTTATTTATTACATGCTCTTACAAGCTAATACCTTTTTAAAGTATGATACTTTGTAAAACACCATGTAATATGAAGTGGAGAATTCTTGTGATCCATCCACAATGTGTGAAGATACTCTATCAGGCATGAAGATGCTCTAACAGAACGCACAGTGGAGGAGACAGATATAGCATAAGGAGCTGTATGACAAGGCGGAGAGCAATGCAATCAACTCTAAAAGGAATCACCGGAGTGCTCTGAGTGTGAAAGAGAGGCAAACTAAGTCACTGGTTAATCAGAATTCAGTACTATATGATGGCGTTCTTAGAACAAAATGTCTTTTTAAAAGGTGGACATTATTTATTTAAGTAGGTGGTCACTTATGAGAAACTAGAGGCCCAGCACTCATGAAATCATGCACAGTTAGGGTCCCTAGGCCTAGCCTGGCCTCCGTTGCTGGCCTCTGCTGCCCTGTGATGTTACATGAAGTTCCCCACCCCAGGATGCTCCGTGATGCTCGCAGTCTTTTTTCAATGTTGGTTTTATGAAAACAATCTGCTATTTTCATATAACCATATATTATAAGCACTATCCAGTGGGTAGACTTTTAAAAATTATCCACTTGGAAAGTTTCGTAGAAATTTTATACTCAAAGTAAACATAGCAGAAACAATCACAGTCTACACTATACCTACCTCCTTGGGATTGCAAATCTGCAGTTTCCAAAGAAAAGGATGAAGACCGTATGCGCTTTCTTGAAAAGCCATTACATTCTGCAAGAAATTCAATATGAAGGGTAAAATTGCTTGCAATAACAAATTATCCTCAATCGATGATATGGGGGACAAGTAGAATTTCCTTTTGTCTATACAAATTATCTTTGGATAACACGTTAACTTCTGAAGCACAATTTTAAATATTGGGGTTAATATCTTGAGGATTTGGAACTGATAGTTGTGAAATTATCAGACTCAAATAGTTTTAGCAAAAAATTGTATATGAATTCTGAGATTGTATTGAGAATGTTTTTGGTATATTGAAACAAAGATCATAAAGAATCATGGGATTTTATGCCGAAACCGGTTTGGCTCAGCGGTAGAGCGTCGGTCTGCGGATTGAAAGGTCCCAGGTTCGATTCCGGTCAAGGGCATGTACCTAGGTTGTGGGCACATCCCAGTAGGGGGTGTGCAAGAGGCAGCTAGTTGATGTTTCTCTCTCATCGATGTTTCTAGCTCTCTATCTCTCTCCCTTCCTCTCTGTAAAAAATCAATAAAATATATATTTTTAAAAAAGAATCATGGGATTTTAGAGTTGTTGAATTACATTTTCCTATTGAATTGTTTTTAAATTAAATTTATTGGGATGCAACCATTAATAATTACATAAATTTCCAGTGTGCAATTTTATACTACGACATCTGTATACCCTATTCTGTGTGAGCACATAACACTTGCATGTTGAAACACAAGAAAAACCATCAAGTTTTACATAGTCTGTGCCACATGCCAAAATGCTTGTGCCTGCTTACGTTTTTTTTGTCTACAGGTTGATTTTGAAATGCAAGATTTAAATCGTTACCAGGTTCTGCTGCTTCGTGCAGGGTCTCTTCCATGGGTCTCTGGAAGGAAATGAAGCTGCAGTGAGAGTTCTCACACCAGACTTCCACCCTGTCTAAGAGGATCCTCCGCAGCCAGGTCTCTTCAGTGAGGCCAGGACACAGCTGCTCACCTTACTCACCAGCATGCTTTCAAGAACAAGCCACATCAGGCAGAGCAGGGCCCCATTCCAGTGACTGCAGAGCCCTGTGGGAGCTTCTGAAACTCCCACCCAGGACTCTGAGTGGCTGACCCGGGCTGGAGCCCATGAATCTGCTTTTTCAACGATGGCTTGGGGTTAAGATTTCTTTAGGTAGTTAACGTTGGGGACAATGATGTACATTACCTGCGTAAGCAAGAATGAATAACAAGGAACTACTAACTAAGATATAGTGAGAATGCTACTAGAAATCTTATTGTTTGTCTCTTGAAGCAAGTATAATGCTGTTAAAAAAGACGGGGTCCTTTAGATCTCCTTTTAAATCAAATATTGAAGTTTACAACTTACTTAATACTTAGTGTTAGGCTGGATTGGAGGAGCCTTAGTCCTAATCTCTTTCAGTCCCTCCCACCCAAGCCACTCCAAAAAAAGTGTATTTAGGGGAAATTCAAGACAGGGTCACTGGCTTCCCATTTCAGCTCAATTGCTGTCAGTAAATCCCTACTATATAAATATTCCGGAGCCCTGCTCTGCTAGGTGAAGGATAAGAAAATAAACTTACTCAGCAGGGCTATCACTTAGTGTAGCTAGCTTCTTTCAATACAATTTTCTTTGTCAAATTAAAAATTAAACAAAAGTCACTTGATCTTACCTTAAAAGCTTGCTCTCTCTTTTCAAAAACAAATATTGGTTGAGCAATGACAGATTTTTCTGTAAAATAAAAAGAACAGAAAAGAAATAAAACCATATTCTGACGTTTCTAATATTGACTAAAATTATTTGAAGATTTGTTTATTTATTTGTATTTTTTCTGCCTTTGGGTAAAATCTAAACTGTTTTACATGGATGCTATAAATGGAATACTTATAAATAGTTTTAATAGTTAATTACAGAAATAAATACTTGGGGGAAAGTGATAGTAAATATATTTCCACAAATAGAGTGATCATCCCATTAAAAGAACATGTGTTAAGGGTTTAAGAAAAGCAAAACATAATTCCCTGCTTTCAGAATCCCACCAAGATAGAGTGATTAACATCTATACTTTTAGAATAAAAAGTTTCAAGGCGTGAAAAATCTAATTTTGATAATAGTATTCCTACTTGGATCAGATCTGAAGGTATAGAAGTACTGCATTCCAGCTTTAAAAATGATCTAGAAATAATCCATATTTCCTTGACTAGAGTAGCCATATACTAAGAAGTTATACTAAGAAATGTTTTCAATTTTTAGACTAAGAATCAGTGTTAGAGTTATAAAGTAGCTAAAGTTTGTCCTCAGCCATACCAACCTTACTACTCTTTTATATTTTCCTATCTTAGGTAGGACAATGGAGAGAAACTCATTGACTCTAGGGTATGAATGGATGATCACAGCTTTAACTATCAGCACTCCAGAATTCTCAGGGAAAATTACATGGTTCTTAAGAGCTTGGGCTCTGGAGTTAGGTGGGCATGTGTTCAAATACAAGTTTCACCACTAACTGGTTTTAGGAAACGGAATATGTACCAGTTTCCTCATATGAAAAAAGAAAGATTATGACAGTATTTACCTCACAGAGTTTATGTGAAGATAAAATGGATTTTTAGATCTAATTATAAGATTTTAATAAAAGAAACAAAAAGCCTAAAAAAAGAGTCAATATGTGGCATGCCACCAGCCCCCATTTCAAAGCTCATACCCGACATGGCTAACTGATGACACGCTTTCTTGAGGAGCCCACATATGAGCTCAGCCCTGTGCTCACCATAGGCTTCCAGAAGCCATTGCTAACATTCTGTGCTGCCACACAGGCTGTCACCTGGCATCCCGAGGCTGCATAAATTACCGCTAGCCGAGGCATTTCAAGGAACTACCATACCTTTTAGCTGCCAGAAAGGGGTTCTCCAGTTCCCCACAATGTTATCCGTGAGAGAGTGTCATAAACTCCAGCAGACGACCCTTTGCTGAGCTCCTTGGGCCACGTGAAGCTGAGCACCTTCTTTCAGCCCAGTGACGCACACCAGTCACTGCTTATGCAAGTGCTACTGCCCTGTCTGCCCTGGGAGCCGAGTGAGGCCAGCGCAAGCCATTCAGGAGCACACCGGCAATCCCGTCCACGCTAGATATAGCTCAAGTCCTCCTTCTTTCTCACACGAGCTCCTTTCCAGCAATCACTTTAGATGTAAGAATGGAGCTCTCTAGTGACTTTGGGAATGTGCACGGGAATACTTATGAATCCCAGCAATGCATGGGTCTTTTCTCAATTGGACTTGGATAGTCGTTCTTAAAATAGCATGACTTGGTCTCAGCCAAGACAAACTAATTGACTTTCCTGCTCTCAAAACAGTCAGCTAAACATGGGCAAAAGCGATCTTTAATGGCAGCATTAAGGAGGAAATCCCAAAGGGTTACTCGCAGCTTGGAAGGCGTATGGTAAAGTCAGAAGGCCCCTTTTATTCATTAATTCAACAAATGTTTATTGCACATCTTTTCTGTGTGCCAGCCACTGTATTAGGACCCAGGTACACACTGTCTGACTGAAGGTACATTAGCCTCAGGCAGCTGCGGCCCAGCCCATTAGTTAGAAAGCAGATAATATCCTACCCTCCACTTCCGTCTAGAGTTTCTCCCTCTCTCCCAAGCATTTCTCTGGCCTCCAAGACAAAGACAAAGTGAACATTGATCAAGCCTTTGCGTTCACACCTGACCCAGTAGGAAAAACCTACATAATAAAAGGCTAATATGCAAATTGTCCCTTTAGGAGTGTGACCAGCCAGGAGTTCAACTGCTCACTATGATGTATGCTGACCACCAGGGGGCAGCACAGAACAAAGGAAGGCCCTGGCCAACAGCTGGCAGCTGGGGGAAGGAAGGCCCTGATCAGCCGTGATTGCTAGCCAGGCTTAGGAACCCTACCCATGCACTGGGCCTCTAGTTTGAAAATAAAAGCAAAGTTCTTGAAATTATATTTTTTAAATTCTATCCTTTATTGTTTATAATATATTTATTATTCAAGCCATTTATCTAACACATATGTAGTGACGGATGATTGTGTATGAGGTTGTTTGCAAGGTGAGAGAGAGGACAGTGGTATAAGAGGAGGAGGAAGACCAGGTTGGAGCTTTGGGAAGCCTTGAGGGCTGAGCCAGGAGTTCTGTTTTCATTCAAAGAAAAAATGGGAAGCCAGTAAGGGATTTACGCTGTGGAGTGACTCACTGGGATATGCAGGGGTTTTTTTGTTTTTGTTTTTTTTGAGATCACTTTGCCTGTTGTGTGGAAAGGGGGTTGGTGGGGAAAGGACGGAGAGAGAGGAAATAATAGGTTAGGCTAAATTCCAGAAGAGAGCTGGCTAGTTGCTCTTTGCTTCTTTGATCATCTTGCATCTGTGATGTTTTGAGGCAAATGGAAAAATTAAAAGTTTAAAATACAGTCTTCTGTTAAAAGGAATGAAGATGAGAGAATAGGGAGGAGAAACTTAAAAACTTAAGGGTTAATTTTGATGTTTTGCCTGCTTTAAGGTTCATGTAACATTTAATGAATCCCAATATTCATGGTTGTTTTCTAAACTATTCATTACAAGAAGAAGAGTGTTCATTCATCCCCCAAATATATTTAAGTGCCTGTTATATATAAGAAAGGACACAGTGTATTATTGATATAACTCATTCTCAGTTCACCTGTCATTCTGCTCCACAATGGAAGCACACAGTGGACTAAGGGCTTTTACCCATCATCGTGTCTACTTGAATTAATCACTTTGTGGGTTAAATATGCTTTCTACTGTATCTACAGATGCTTACTTACAGGTGGGGAAACGAAGGCTCTAATAGATTTGCTCAAAGTCATGCCACTGGTAAGTGGCAAAGCCTTTAATTAAACCCAGGTTCCTCCTACAAATTATTGATCTTAGCTCTCACCTGTCATATGTGATATCCGATAGAACTTCACCTGTAAAATATCACGTTCTAAACGTATAACATGTACACTGTTGGCACCAAGAAAAGAGAGCAGAGGAAGGAGTAAGGAGGAGATGCTGGTTTTTCCTCCAGAAAATCTTGTAGAACCATTTGATCCTTCAAACCATAAGAATATGTAGAATAAAAAACTTTTTAAAAAATAATTCCTTCCTACTACAGTGTCAGACACCCATAATTAAAGGTCAAATTTCAAGCTCCTTGTCCAAAATAGACTTCTTATTGAATTGCACTGCCTAGCAGGCAGGCATCCACTATCTTCTTTCTTGGCAGTTTCCAGAGTGATAGAAATACCTATCTATATAAAAGCCTAAGTGACAGAGTGACTGAATGACTGAACAACCGGTTGCCATGATGTGCACTGACCACCAGGGGGCAGATGCTCAATGCAGGAGCTGCCCTCTGGTGGTCAGTGTGCTCCCACAGCCAACCCCCCATGGCCAACCTTCTGAAGTCCCTCCCCTAAAACTGGGCAAGATGGCCCAATCGCCCAATCATCAGCCAGGCTGAGGGACCCAACCCAGTCACGAATTCATACTTAAGGCCTCTAGTATGGAAATAAAGGTGTGGACAAGATGGATTCACTGAGTTTGGAATGCATGTTTGAGAGGCATCTTATGTCCTTGCCCTTCACCTATATTCTAAGTACTTCTCCAAGTCTCCAGACAAGAATCCAGCTAGAAACTTAGGCAGATATATAAGAGCTTAGTTCTTCAGGATTCAAAAATTGAATAGTAAATATAAATTTCCTTTCCCTCTTATTCTCACATGATGAGAATAAGACCAAGGCCTCAGCCTTTTCCATCCCTCTCTGTATGTATTTGTTATAGGGTAATTATGGTAAAACAATGTGAGCATGTTTTACCTAGTCGAGCTGCCTCTTCAAACCTTTTTGGAATAAAGCAGAATATCTATCTACCTATTTCTCTCTCTATCCATCTGTCTCCCACATAGACACATCTCTCTCTGTCCAGACATATACACCATTATGCACATGTGCATGTACATACATGCACACACACATAGCACCATGTCAAACTACAGATTGCACAGAACTCATTGAATAAAAGCGAGGTGCCCTTCCCTCATCCGCCCCAGTCCTATGTCATATGCCGACATCCTTGACTCTCATCACCTCTGGAAGAAAGGCCTTCTTGCTCCTCAGAGGTCTTTCTCTTTCCTTTCATTCATCACCCTATTCTTACCACTAGCTTTCTTCTCATTCCCCCTAAGCTCCTATTCTCTTCTTCTTTTCCTTTGTTTTGAATATCAGGACATTTCTGAACACAGGCTATGGCCCCTAAAGAGCTGTAGAGATCCTTGCTCTCAAAGTGTGGTCCAGACAGAGCAGCAACACTAACTGGGAGCTTGTTAGAATGCAGACTTCTAGGCCCCGCCCAGACCTACTGACGCAGAAGCTGCAGTTACAGTATCCCCAGGTGATGCGCAGACATATCTGAGAAGCAGTCACCTGGAGCAACCCCTGGTTTCTGTCCATGAGGCCAAGATTAGGAAGATGGCAGGGAGACACCTGGAGTTAGTGACTAAGCTTCAGATGTTATTAATGAGAAAATAGTTGCTACTCAAACCCCATACTATGATTATTATGACTCAATGAAAGGTGAAGTCAATGGCTACTCTGAAGACTTAAAAAGAAATACCTATAGGAAGGATGTCGAAATATAGAAATTGGTATTGAAATCAATCATTCAGATATTCTGTGAAGCCATAAATGATTCCCTCTCTAAAGCAAAA